TCTTGGGCCATCTTGGGGCCCTCTTGGAGGCTTCGTGGGCCGTCTTGGGGCGGTCTTGGAAGCCGTCTTGGAGCGCCGGTAAGCCGAAAAGGCGAGAACGCCAAAAACCGTCAGAAACTAAAGGAAAATCACTAATTTCTGCCTCTGTGGGCCCTCTTGGGAGGTCTCTTGGAGGCATCTTGGGGCGTTTTCAAGGCGCTCTTGGGCAGTCGTGGGGCAATCTTGGGCATCGTCGGCCGATCTTTCCAAGGGCTCTTGTACCGTCTGGGCGCTCTCTTGAGGCCTTCTTGGGCTCCTCTTGGGCCGTCTGAGGGGCCTCCGGCATCTCTGACGGAACTTGCCGACTTGCCGGGACCTTGGCGGGGTACTTGTCGCGTCGGGGCCTCCAGGGGCCGCCTCGCGCGCGCGAACTTGTTATATTGTTAACTTGTTTCAAAGATCTTAGCACGTTTCTGGCCCGCTGGGCCGGCGAATTCGTTCTCAAACACACAGAAGCCTTTGGCGTCTTTTGTTCATCACGAGGTGGCACTAAGCTGGATTGAGCTTGATCCAGCTGGGCTTAGCTGACCTGTGCCGAACTGACATGAGCTAATATGGGTCGATATGGATTGAGTTGGATTGAGCTGGGCGAGCTGGAGGCAAACGAGCCTGGACGATGGCAGGGAGGACAAAGAACACAAACCAGCCACAGCGGGCTGTTCGCCCTCGCTCAACAACGGGAAACACCATGTCGTGTCCCCATCCCTCGGCTCCTCGTCGCCTCGTTCCTCCCGTCCCGTCTCCTGCTGCTGCTGGGTGGAAGTTCACAGCAAGCTGCTCGGAGCTTTTGCACAGCTTCCAGCATGCGTCACGCATGGAGGCCAGTTGTTCGGCCGGCCCTGAGGATATCGAGGGGGTTCCAGCGTCGCCGCGAAGCAGGCGGGGCCAGAGAGAAAAGGGTCGTGAGGTTTTTGGGCCTACTGGGGCCGTCCACATGCCCTGGGGCAGCCACGAATCGGCTCGGGATGCAGACTTGGTCCTGGAGGAACGTTGGAGGGTCCAGGGATCGTTTTTTCAGGACCTGCGTCCTTCATGCCAACAGCGAGCCTTCAGGGCTTCTGTACTGGGGGCTGGTCCAGAAGCCTCCAGGAGTCATCGACGCGGCGCTTCCAGGGAATCTTCTACGGATGTGACGGGGACATGCAGAGGCCTCCAGGGACACTCCAGGTGCCTCCAGGGGGTTCCAAGTGGCGTCCTGGGGTCTTTACCAGGGCGATAGGGCAGCGGGACATTGCAGAACTGCGTGAGGTCTCGTGCGCGTGCTCTCGCGCGGCTGCACCTCCCGGCTCACCGCTCAGGTCTCAGAACAAGCTCAAGAAGGCCGCGCTCCACGTCATCGCCAGCAATCTCAACGAGGACCCTGCGTGCCGATGCAAGCACGCGCGAGCGGGACACGTCCTGGGTTGGGGGGGGGGGGGGGCGGGGCGCACCGGGCAGGGAGCAGCCACGAAGCGGCACGGGGCTCTTCCCGCCTTCGGGGCCCTTCGCGCGGAGCCGAGTCGGGCTTCACTGTAGACTCGGCCCCGCTCCGCATCCCGAGGGCCGCGGGCCTCAGAGGTGGAGACGGCGCCCGTGCCGCCACCCATGCCTCGTTCTCGCTTGTTTCGGCCTCCTGAGTCTCGGGAGGCCGAACAAAAGCGCGAGGGCCTCTCAGAGAGGCCCTCGTCGTCACCGCTGGACTCGCCTCGAAATCCTGGTAGGATCGCACCCCGGGAGAGGCCTGGGGAGTAGCGGTATAGGACCTTCCCCATTCTTGCTACCTTTGGGTTTCCGCAGGTGATTCATCCTGGCACCTCGACAGTGGCTTCATCACTTCGGCTTTGCAGCCTCCTTTGTGCCACCCTCCTCTCCAACACCCCCTTGTTGCGTCGCCTGTGCTGCGTCGCCCCCTTCTGCTTCTCGGCACCTCAGCATGGAGGAACCACGGGTTGAGACATGTCGGGGGGAGGGAGGGGTATAGAGGTTCAGAGAGCAATTCGTAGTGTGGGAGGGAGTGGGAGAAATCGAGTCAGAGAGAGGCAGAACAGTAAGCGAGTGACGGAATGGGGCACGATCCGCGGGAGGGGTGTGCAGAACCGAGCTTGCCGCAGCTATGCGAGCTGGCCCAGTAAGGCCGTAGGTGGAGCTCCCCAAGGGGCATGGGGCACGATCCGCGTCAGGGGTGAGCAGGGAGTGGCGCAGCGCTGCCTCCCTGCGAGGTGGCCCACCGAGGCCGTAGGTGGAGCTCCCTGTGGGGTAAAACATCGGCGCGATGTGCCAGAACGGAGACGGCGCCGACCACAGGAGCAGGTCCACCTGGGGCCGCAGGCAGAGCCCCCCTGTGAAAAAAAACGCTCGCGAGGCGTGTGCCAGACGGAGCGCGGGACGGCATACACGTCCACGCCCGCGGGGGGCCGCGGGCGGAGCTCCCCGTGGGGTCGCGGTCCGCGGGAGAGGCTCCCCGAAGTGGGCATCGGCGGGCTTCACGCGCGCGAGGCTGTGGGTGGACCTCCCGCGGGGGCACGTGTGTGTGTGTGTGTGTGTGTGTGTTGCACCCGTGCTCCCTCCTCCTCCTCCCTCCTCCTCCCTCCTCCTCCTCCTCCTCCTCCTCCTCCTCCTCCTCCTCCTCCTCCTCCTCCTCCTCCGCCTCCGCCTCCGCCTCCTCCTCCTCCTCCTCCTCCGCCAATTTCCTGAGTCCATCCGGCCCGTTTGCCCTGCCCTCCGCCCGTGCGCTGGGCCGCGGGCGCTCGCAGGCCGCCGCTTGCGCGACTCCGCGCCTTCCTCCGCCCCCCCCGCTTCGTTTGGCGGCCCCCCAGTGGGTCGTCTGCTCCACTGCTACACCGCTGGTGCACCTGTTCGGTGCCTCTCTCTTTGCCTCTATCACTGCACCCGTCGGTGCTACCCCCCGCGCGCACTCGGCCCTTCCGAGTGGCGCTTCTGCTCTCGCCTTCGGCGTCTACCCCCATTCGTGCTCGGTCCCCCTTCCACCGCGCCACTACCTTCTTGGGGTCACCGGTCCTGCGGCACCCATGAGCGTGGCGCGCAGCGCTGCTCGCGCCCGTCCTTACTGCCGTTGGCTGGTGCGTTTGCCTTCTGGCGAGCTGGTCTTGCCGCTCGCCTTCGGCTCCCGCGCGCCGTCATGCTGCTAGTCCCGTGGTGGCAGCCGCCTCGGCGCCCCCTCCCCCTGCCTGGGTGGAGGCCCCTGCCCCGCTGCTGCATCCCCTGCCTCGGCAGGGCGGATCGCCGGCCTTCTGCAGTGTTCTGGACGGGCCGCCGCCTGTGGCCTCCCTTTCGGTGTGGCCCTCCCCGATCCCGGGTGCCGGCTGGCCTCGGCCGCCCCCCGGCCGCCCTCTCTTTGCTTGGTTTCCAGGCCAGGCCAGCGGGCCTCGCGCCAGTTTTGCCGGTGGGCCTGCCCCGCCCGCTGCTCCGCCCCTCCCCTGTGTCCTTGCCCTCGGTCCGACCACGGCGCACGGCCGCGTTGCTGCGCTTCCCGCCCCCCGCACGGGCTGGGCCTCTTCCCCCGGCCCGGCGCTGCCGCCCTTTTGGCTGCCGCGCCCCCCCCCGGCTGCAGTGCGACCGCCGCCCCGCTGCCCCGGCGCTGCCCCTGCCGCGGCCTGGCCCCGCTCTGAGCGGGCCCGGCCTCCCCTCCGTCCTGCCCGTGCCAGGCTTCCTCCTCCTCCTCCTCCTCCTCCTCCTCCTCCTCCTCCTCCTCCTCCTGCGTTGCGGCTTAAGTCGCATCTGTGTGCCCTACAGATGCACCGTCCACCAGCGCAGTTATTCTGCCCGACGTGAAGAACATGTGTGTCTGCGTATAACCGTACCTTCGAAGGCTTCGACTTCGTCGTGTTCCTTCACGTCGGCACGCGCGCGCAAGGCTTTCATGTCCTGAGCGTGCCCCCCCCGCCCCCTGGGCCCCCCTCCTGCCCTTCCACCCGCCGCCCTGTGCCCAACTCGTTCGCCTGTATCCCTGTGCATTCTCGATCGCTGCTGGACTTCTCGCGGCCGCGGACTCACACACACAGTGTGTGTGTGTGTGTGTGTGTGTTTGTGTGTGTGTGTGTGTGTGTGCGTGTGTGCGTGTGTGCGTGTGTGCGTGTGCGTGTGTGTGTGTGTGTGTGTGTGTGTGTGTGTTTGGGTGGGGGGGGGGGCGGTATGGGCGCATGGTGGCAGTCGCCCGCGCCCGCCGGGACCGTAGGCGACGCTCCCTGGACATGGGGCAGAAGTTTGCCGCGTTCTGCGTGTAGCGGCTAAGGGCAGCCTTCGCTGGGGCAATCGGTGGAGCTCCTCGTCAGGGCACGACATGGGCGTGGGGCGGTGGGCGGGCCACACCCGCAGGGGCCGCAGGTGGAGCTCCCTACGGGAGCACGAGGCGTGTGAGGGGTGTGCCAAAGCGAGCGTGGGGCGTCATGTGGTCCATCCCCCAGTGGGGCCGCATGTGGAGATTCCCAACGTGGGAGGGGCATGCCAAATTGGCGTGGGGGTACGGTCTACCCGCACTGGGGCCGTAAGTGGTCTTCCCTTTGGTGGCACGAAACGCGTGAGTGGCGTGCCGATGTGGACATGCGGACGGATAGGAGAAGCAGGGAGGGGAGAAGGGGAAAACGGGAAGAAAAGGAGGAATGAGGCGCGATGCGCGGCGCAGCGTGATTATAAGGATCTGGTAATACATGAGGTTTGCGCAGGATTGCAACCTCGCGAGAAATCCCAGCCAGAGTTCTATATTTTTTCCGCGGCATTTCTGGAGCCGGATCGCTAAGTGAATGCCCTAGGGGCCGATGCCGTCGGGCAAGAGCGCCCTGTGCGAACAACCATGGTTTGACCGGATCTTGGGGAAGGACGAGGAGTGCGCGAGCAGCCCAGGCATCCGACATTTTGCCTTTATCGATGCGGGCCACGGAAGGCCCGACCCTTGCCCCCAGGGTTGGCTTTTCGTCCCGCCTCGTGTTTTGGCCGACCTGGAACCCGAAACCGCCCCGCAGAGGCCGAAGGCCACCCCTCTGGACCTTTGTCAGACGTGGGAGTCCGGGGCCCAGGCCACGCAGCTGTCTCGGCTGCAGGCGGGCGATCGGGCCCCTGCGTCCCGCCCGAGGGAGGAGGCCATGCTGCTGGCGCCCGCCGCGCCCATGCGCACGGCAGCATGGCCGGCGGCGTGGCCGGCGATGCGGGGCGGAGGCTGGGGAGCCTTTGGGACCAAGACATCCAACGTCCGAGGTTCGAGCATCGAGATGCTTTTAGGACGGTTTCTGGGCCCCTGGGCCTGGTGAGAGCCAGTGGAAGCCGCAAGCGGTGGGAAGCTTCCGCCGTGACTCTTCTTCAAGGCATCGCTTGTCACGGCAAAGTCCGCTCCCCCCGTCCAGACCCAGAGGGGGGCCGTGGGTAGGGGGAGGGGTAAAGTCACTTCTGCTGACAAGGCGCAAGCCGTTTCGCTCGCTCCGACCTGCCCTCCCAAAACAGAAGTAGCAGCCGAGCATGCTTGGCACAAGCAGATGCAAAGTTGACGCGGGCCGCCCGCGCATGCTCCAGATTTCAAGACAATGTTGTAATATTGGTTGACGGGTATTGTTGGTCTGCGCGCAGCAGGCAATATGAACCCTCCCTGTCGTCCCGGTCAAAAACCAATGCAATGTGGTCGCGGGGTGCCGCGCATGCTGCAGTATTGGAGGCAAAATGTAATTTGCTATTTGGTGTTGACAGGGATGGTGGGCCTGCGCGCAGCAAGCAATACGAGCCCCCCCCGTTTCCGATCAAAAACAGATGCAAAGAAGTTGCGGGCCCCCGCGCATGCTCCAGATTTGGAGGCAAAGTACACTTTGTATTGTTTTTTCACAGGGGTGGTTGGTCTGCGCGCAGCAAGCAATATGAGCCCCTGCGCCCGCGCATGGTCAATATTTGGAGCCAAAGTGTGTTTGTTCTTTGACAGGGATAGTGGAGGGGTCGTCATAGGGACGGGTTGGCTGCCGGTCGCCTGGCGGAGGGGTTGTTTCTTCATAGGCAGCAGTGATCGAGAGACTTCTCCCAGACGCAAACTGGTTGGCTCACTCCCACCCGCCCTCCCAACGTCTCAGCAGATTCAGCTGTCGTTTTTGGATGTGCAGCTACTGGGAACCAATACAGACCCCAGGTGCGCGACGCTGGGGCGAGGTGCGCCACGTGTGCCAGGCGCGCTACTCGTGCCAGGCGCGCTACTCGTGCCAGGCGCGCCAGGCGCCCCTGATGCCCAAACGTGCCATGCAAGCAATGCGCCAAGTGGGCCGCATGCTCCAGCCGCGTCAGGTGCGCCACGCTCGGGGCACGCGCAGGGTGTGCCAGGTGCGCCCGCGCACATCGGGTAACATGTCAGCCTCCGCCATGTCGCAAACCAATGAACAATCACGGCGGAGTGGCCGTCATGATGTGTGGTGGGCTTGCGCACGGCAGGCAGCGTGGCAGCACCCCCATCGTCTTTGTCAAACAAACATGTTCAACGTGATCGCGGGGTGCCCGAGCATGACCCAGACTTGGCCGCGAAGTGCAGTTTGCATGTTTTTTTGGTGACAAGGGCATTGGCCCTGTGAACAGCAGGCCATATGCTGGCACCCTTGCCGCCTTTCTCGCAAGCAGTACAAAGTTCTCGCGGGGACCCCGGGCATGATAGTGCCGCAAAGTGTACTTGAGTTGTTGTTTAGCAGGGGTGGTGCCCCGTCGTCCTTGGCAAAAGTTGATGCGTAGTGGTCGCGGGGCGCCCGCGTATGCTGCAGATATGGGGGACAGCTGTATTTTGTATTGCTTTGTCGAAGGATATGGTGAGGGGATGGGCTGATGGGTCCGGGTTAACTGCCAGTGAACAGGGAGCAGTCATAAACCCCTCTGCGAGGGGGAAGGAGGGGTTTGGAAGAGGAAACACCCTAGACCATTTCCGCCCTGAACTCCGCGGACGGATCGTGCGCACCCTTCCCCCTCTGCGTCCTCCGAGGCATCACCGACCTTCGAACCAGCACAGGCGCGGTGCACAGTGTCAGGTGCTCTGCCCTCGGAGCCGAACAACTATGCACCGTGCCGCTTTGGAGCGGGGCGTGAGGGGAGCCCAGACATGGTACGGTGCATGGGCGCCGTTCTCGTATACGGAAGGTGCTGGAAAGATAGCGTGCGACTTAGCTGCGCCGGCTCGCGTATCTCAGGCCATCCCCCACTTCGGGGATGGCGTGTTCCGAAGAAGCCCTGGCTGGGGGATGGCGCGCATAGAAGGAGCCCTCGCGCGGGGATCGCCCCACAGGAACGGCGTGCTTTTGACACCATCCAAACAAATTTGACGCTATGTACGCGTCTTCTGCGCAAGGGCGATGCGCACGCTCAAACATTTCACCATAGTAGGAGCTTCGTGGCGGGCGCGTTTTGGCCATGCCGCTCGGGAAACGATGCGCTACCAGATGTTTGTGCTACACGTTCGTGTCGGACGTGCGCCTTCGACACCAGCTCACAGAATGAGAACGTCTTTCAGCCTCCCGTACACCTTAGGCGATGCTTAAGAAAACCTAAGTTTTCGGCCAGGGTCTCGATGATTCTAAACGTTTCAATGTAAATCCCAAGATTTGAATAGAAATGTTGGGTTTTTATTCAAGTTCTGAGACTATGAATTTCTTAACCCATGATTTCTTAAGCATTTCGCAGGGTGTACTGTTCGGAGAGCGATGCTGCACGCCATCTTCCCGACCGCCAGCCGGAAAGGGCTGGTGGCATTCCGCCCCCCCACCGAGGCGCTCCGCCCCGGGCGACGCCCAGCGCGGCGCGGGCAAAGCCGCCGGGGGCGCCGCCGGCGATGGCGAGCGCCGCGCTGGCGGCGGCGGGGGCGGCAGCTTTGGGGCAACGATACACCTTAGGCGATGCTTAAGAAAACTTAGTTTTCGGCCAGAGTCTCGATTATTCTTAATTTTTCAATGGAAATCCTAAGATTTTAATGGAAATGTTGGGTTTGTTATTCAAGTTCTGAGACTATGAATTTCTTAACCCATGATTTCTTAAGCATTTCGCAGGGTGTAGGGGGGGGGATAGGCTCCAGGGGGATGGCCCAGGAGCGAAAGAAGGGCGTACACGTACAGGAGTCCACGCTCGGTTTCGAGAGCACGTTGTGCGCACTGCGCGAGCGCTCGTCACAGGAAGCCAGCCTCGCAGATTTGGGGGGTTGTGTTCCTGTACGTCGTTCGGTGCCTACGTCTTTTGAGGGCTCCCTCGAGTGTCCCGAGGCCGAGTCCGAGCGCTCGGCGCTCGGGCTCGGCGCTCGGGGTCAGCGCTCCGGCGAGGGCGACGGGGCACGGGGCAGCCTCCTCGGGAGGGGCCATTCCGATCCGATCGATCCGATTCGGCATCGGCTCTGGACGGCTCGCGTCCGATTCGATTCCGATGTTCGGGCGATCCGATGCGGCCCGACGTTTGCACGGCGCCGTCGTGCATCCGATGCGCCGCCGATTCGATTCCGATTCCGATTCCGAGCCGATGCGGTCCGATTCAATGCAACGCGTTCCGATCCGAGCCGAGTTTCGGTTTCGATGCTGACGGTTCTTGCTCAGGAGGCGCGCGGGGCTTCTCAGGGGGGTCCCACCCCTCAACCAGGAGAGCGATAGGCGACAGGGGGGGGTAGGCTCTCGAGGGGACGCGTCGACTCCCAATCGTCCTTTCATCGCCGATGGGGGTCCGACGGCCGACGCCCGCCTGGAAGGATGCAACTTCACCATCGGCGATGTGTTGGTGATTCCGCGTCGATGGCCGAGGGAAGACACACGGGAGCCACAGCCCAGATGCCGCGTGATGTTGCCGGTGCCGATCTTGGCCGTGGTCCATGCTCGGCCGCGGCGATCCGCGATGATGATGATCCACGAATTGACGCTGACCAGGGTCGACGACGACGTTTCGGCGTTCAGTCTTGGGCATGAGGAGGAGGAGGAGGAGGAGGAGGAGGAGGAGGAGGAGGAGGAGGAGGAGGAGGAGGGAGGAGGAGGAGGAGGAGGAGGAGGAGCCCGTTTTGTTCCTCCCCAGGTGTTCCCCCCCCCCCTGGTGCCGGTCCCCCGCTGTCGTTGCCCCTCAGGCGGCGGCGGCGGCGGTCGCCCGGCGTGCCCGTCGCCCCGCGCCTGGCAGGCATCGCCCCCTCCTCGCTACGCTTCCTCTTCGGGGGGCCTCTCGACGAAGGAAGAGCGGCAGAAGCGTACCGCCGAGGCGCGGGAACAGGGGCCGCTCTGGGTGTTCGGGAGGGCTCGCTGTTTTGCGCAGGTCCTTCCATGGCTGTCCCTCGTGCCCCCCTCGTGCACGCGGGCGCTTTTTGGGCCAAAGGAGGGCTCCGTGACTGGTCCATCGTGTCTTAACTCCAGCAGGAGGAGGAGGAGGAGGAGGAGGAGGAGGAGGAGGAGGAGGAGGAGGAGGAGGAGGAGGAGGAGGAGGAGGAGGAGGAGAAGGACGCCGATCCAAGAAATCCGCGCGCAAACTTTCGGTTCTGCGCGCGGATTTCTTGGATCGGCGCTGCGCGCCCCCGGCGGGTCGCACCCTGCGCCGCCCCCGAGGCGCGCTCCGCGCGCCAGTGCAGGGGGGTCCTGCGCCGATCCATGACATCCTCGCGTTCGATGCTCGTTTTGGGGACCTTCCTGGGGGCCACCTAATGGATCTGTTCGACTCAGGTTCGACTCAGGTTCGACTCAGATTCGACCCAGGTTCGACTCAGCTTCGACTCAGGTTCGACTCAGGTTCGACGCAGCTTCGACGCACGAGTGGAGCGAGTGGCTCCAGGAAGGTCCCCAGAATGAGCATCTAACTCGCGGACCTCAGAGACATTCTGTTGATCATGTTTGCCCTTCCTCCAGCCTCGTGGCGTTGCGTTTTCGGGGGACCTCGTCTGTCATCTAACCTGCGCTCTGCTCCATTCTTCGGCGCGTGGTCGGCGCAGATGCGACGTGGAATCGGCTCAGATACGGCGTGGATCTGACGTTGATTCGATACGGATCATACGCACTCGACATGGGTTCGACGATGATTCGACGCGGATATCGGCGTGACGGGACAGACAGCAAGGTCCCCCGACGATGCAGCACGAGTTTCGGGCGGTACCAAGAGGGGTCACCACTAAGGGGCCACCAGTTCCTCCTGGAAGGCCGGGTTCCGGGATCGACGTTCGAGGGGCCTCTTGGACGCTCGGGGTCATCTTGGAAGGCCACGTGGAGCGTTCGTTGGGGCCCACTTCCTCGAGGGAGTCCCTCCCTCCCTCCTCCCTCCTCCCTCCTCCCTCCTCCCTCCTTCCTGGCCCTCGGAAAACTGGCGACCCCCCAGTGGTGATCCCCCCGAGCACTGCCCCACCGCGGGAGCAGACGCCCGCCCGCCTCGGCGGTGTCGTCGGTCGGCGGCGCGCCCCGGGGGGGGGGAAGTGAGAGGGAGAAGGCCTCTCTCGGGAGGCGTCGGGGCTTCTCAGAAGCCCTCGTGGGCCTTCTGAGAAGCCCTTTGTGGGCCCTCTCAGAGCTTGCTTTGTCGCCGGGGAAGGCTCCAAAAGCTTCTCCGAGAGTCCGAGGCCCTCCGAACCTTCTGAGAAGGGAAGGGCGTCCCGGTGGGAGTGGTTCCGTGCCCCCGGCGTTTTTGGACGATGTCGGTTCCGGGAGGCTCTCCTTCCCCGTGCTGCGTTTTTCAGCAGCTGCGCCCCGCCGAGAGGCGCCCGGGGGCCTGGATCGTCCCAACGACCGGGCATCCCTCGGACGTGCGCATTCTTTCTCGGCGAGGACGAATCGAGGAGCCTTTCGAGTCGCCTTACAAGAACGTGCACGCACGAAGCTGAGGAGCGAACGGGGAATGGACGTCCGAACGATGGCGAGAAGACCGGCCACCAGAGACCCGCAGAAACCAAACGACGAGTATCATTGGTGGGGATAGGCTTATAGGGGAGGACGCATCGACCTGTTATCGCCCATTCATCGCCGACAGATGCCTGGTAGCCCAAGCCACCCAGCAACAGCGGGCGCCTATCGCTGATCTATCGGCGATGCATCTCCAGTTCCCTCTCGATGAGTTCCCCCCTGAGCCGGTCCCCCCAGAGCGTTCCTCCGAGTCCTCAGTGGCATGTCCCTGACATCCAACGCCTGTGAGCGATCACGACGGAGGGCTCGATTCGCAGTGCCCGGCTTCAGGGGTTCGGGCTCCCGAGCCGTGGACAGAAAGACTCGGGGGTGAAACGCCGGCTCGGGGGGAAAGGGTCCGGATCTCTGAGTGCCGCGCGTGGAATATAATCAAGGCATCGGGTGTCGGCGTCGAGATGATTACGTCGGTCTCGAGATAAGCTCTGCGGCCGCTCTCTCTTGGGCTTCGGGGGGGCCCCTCGCGACCAAGGCTGGACGCAGCTCGAAAGCGTGGCCGGGAGGGTCCGGGGATCGATCTTGACCCCGCCGTTCTTGGGGGGAGGCCGTTCTCATCAGCCACAATTCGTCCTGGTCAGGCCAGCCTTGGGGATCAGGGCACACGCCCCCCAGGCCAAAGCAGGACCTTGAGGCTTTACGTTGCGCGAGAGTTGCAACATCGAGGATAATCGCAACCAGAGCCCTCGTATTCATCTTTCTCTAGCATGTCTCGAGCGGGATCCATCCGTGCGGGTCCCGGGGTCCGAATCTGGTCGGAATCGCTCGGTGGAAAAATGTAGCGACGTTCTGATGCCAGAGGAGGGCTAGCACACGCCGTTCCAAACCCAGGAGATGCTTGGCCAGAGTGGATGCAGCAGTACAGCCGGCGCCTTCCTATCTTCACCCTCGGCAGGTCCCCTTGTCTTGCACCTTCTGCACCTTCCGCGCGGACGGTGCCGCCGCGATGCGGCTGCCGCGGCCGCCGCTGCGGCCTCGACGGTGACCAGGCTGCGGCCGCGGCGGCCGCCGCAGCAGCGCGGCACCTGCCGCGCGGAAGGCGCGGAAGGTGCATGTCGAGGGTTCGCGGCGCCTCGACGTGGCAGGTTCGAGCGCTCTCCAGGGGCTCGCTGCGGGCCCCCCGGGCCCGCAGAAGGCAGCTCCGCGGCCAGGGCCCGCGTCGTCAAGGCAGGATCCCTGCGTGCTTCTCGGGCGAGTGTGCCCCGCGCCCTCGTGCCAGAGCAGTCAGGGATCCAAGGTGGGGTCCTCAGAGGGCGCCGCCTGGCAGTTTCTCAGGTCGGGCCCACCTCGAGTCAAAATCAGTGGGCAGTCGTTGCTGGCCTGGCTCGGAGGCTACGTGCTCGGTGCTGGGGTGGCGTTGAAAGCGCCCTTCGTCGAGCGAGGCGCTGGGTCAGGGTGGCCGCTGCCACGCCTAAGTAAGCAACTGCAGTAAGAGGTCGGGGAAGACGTAGCAGGGTCAAACCGATCTGGTCGATCCGATTCGGTATGGATTACAGCCGACGATCCGATCCGATTTGAACCGTGTGTCGATGCGGCCCGATCCGACGCTTTTTCGGCCAGAGTTATCGTTTCGGTGTTGACAGATCTTGCGCAGATACGCGAAGCAACATCTTACCAGATAAATTGCGTGTTCACCGAAGGCGGGCACATCACGTACAACACCCCACACCAGCAAGTGGGACCGCCCTCCAACAATTGTTCTTTCAGCGATCACGCCTTCGAGATTCGGAAGCATGAAAACACCCCTTGCGCTATTAACGCCAACCAAGGAATCGCGTCATGACTTCATCGGGGAGTGTTGGAGCGATCTTTCGGCTGGAAGCCGCCCAAGGGTGTCACAGCCTGCAAAGCCAAGATGGGAGGTCTCAAACTATCCGTCCGAGGGGACGGGTAAGTTCGACGGGGCGAGGAATGATAGCAAGAATGGTAATACCAGCGACCGGTGGCACTGCGGGGGCATGCTGTCAACAAGATGCGGTAGGTTCGTGTCGTGCCGACGCGTCAGCGACCCCGCCGCTGGCGTTGCAGGCTGAACGCCGCGGGTGGCACAGAATCGGCCGATGTGGAGCGATCTCGTGATCGAAATGTTGCCGATCGCCCAGGGTTGAACGATCCACGCGGTGTCAGAAACCAACGCCCAGGTCGCATGAACTTGTGGTAGGTGCGTTGCAAACGTGCACTGGCGGGGCCTGTGGGATCCTCGGTAGCCAAGGCGGTTGCCCAGCAGCATTAGACATATTCCTCGGGCAAGCTATTCAGAAACAAGGAGAGCAACGACAACGATGGCAACGACAGCGATAACGATCACAGCGATCATAACAACACCGATCGTCATTGTTATTATCGTTGTGATCGTTGTTCTCATTGATAGCGTTGCGGTTTCCCGTGTCTTTACAAGAGGTGTTCTTGCCCTCTGAGCCATAAGCGCCACGCCTGAGGCTGCCGCCGTCAAGGGGCTCAGCGGCGGTGCGCAGGGTACGCAGGGACCTGCACTTGGACGGCTACCCCGTCCACGGGCCAGGGTATTACTGGTCGTTGAGCAAGTGCTCGGAGTTCGTCAAGATCTTCATGCCGATAGCCGACGATGTCTCCTCGAAGGACATTATCTACTCGTTCTCCGACTGGACGTTGAAGTTGGGCATCCAGCCAGAGAAGGGCGACATGGTCATCGACGACAAGGTTTTGTACAAGGTTGACATGAACGAGTCTTACTTCGTCATCGACGACGGCGAGTACGGAGAGCGGTGCGTCGTCGTGTGGCTCTGCAAGTACGGTAAGGAGAACGACTGGTACGCCTACGACCGTTTCTCACCTGCGTGGGAACGCTTTCTCCTCGAGGGCGAGAAGCGCCGAGCGGATCTGACCTTCAAGATCACGGACAAGGCCTACCTTGACATAGCCGTCGACGGCAAGGAATTCGGTCGCGTAGTATTGGGCTTGTACGGAGAGATTTGCCCGCGCACGGTGAAGAATTTCCTTTGCCTCTGCACGGGTGAAAAGGGCGAGGGTGAGGAGGGGCCCTTGCACTACAAAGACACCAGGATCCACAGGATAGTCAAGGCCCGGGTCTGCAAAACGCATCCTCGCATTCAGTTCGTTCGTGCTTTTCCTTGCATCGGTAGGTTTGTGTCGTGTCGACGCGGCAGCGACCGAATCTGGCGTGGACCAATCTGGCGATCCCAAATGCCGCCGATCTTTCAAGGTTGAACGATTCACGCGGTTTTAGATATCAGCGCCAGGTTCGTCACGACGCGATCTTTGAGAGTTTATCAATCAAGATTTTTGGCTCTGCGACAGGGCTTCTGTATCCAGGGTGGGCAGACGTTCGAGACGGAGGACGGCGACGGCGGCGAGTCCATCTATGGCGGGCTATTCGAAGACGAGAACCTCCGAGTGAAGTTCAGGATCAAGGGCACGATTCATAGTAGGGCGGGCGCAAGACCCCGAATGGGCGTGCCCCAAATCGTGTGTGCCCCGTCATGTCTCCTGCCACGACGTGCGCCAAGAGCGCGCGCGAAGAGATTGACCGGCGTGCGGGCGCACCCTTGTTCTTCAGGCACCGCGCTCGGCTGTGATATTGGAGAGCGGCACCGCTAACCTGTTTATCGTTGCCCCTAGGGCCTCCGCCGCGACCCTGGGGATCCGCGATGCTGTTCCCGAGGACTTGTGGCGTTTGCCCAAGGGACCTGCGTCGTGGGTTCCAGGGGTCATGTCGTTGGCCTCGGGGCCTTGTGCCCATGGCCGATCGAGTTCGCTGGGGCCCTTCCCGACGCGATCGCCGTCGGTCAATCTCAGGGGGTCCTGTGTCCAAAGACGCGGGTTCCACGGTGCTCAATTTTTTTGAGCCGTGGCCAAAGTGGTGCCAAAATTTGTGTTCGGGGATATCGCGTTGTGCTCAGAGTAGGTTCTCATGCGATGATGCTCCGCGCTGTTTGTGTGTGTGTGTGTGTGTGTGTGTGTGTTTTTTCTTGGGGCGCAGTTCTGGGCACCGTTTTTTTTTGGGGGGGGGGGCACAGTATTTTTTCATTTGGGGCTCATTTTTGGGCATGCGACCGGTCAATTCAGGCATCCATTCCGGCACCGTACGGGCTCCGTTTTGGGCACGCAGGGGGTGCAGTCAGGGCAAGTGTCCAGGCATCCGAAAGTTGGATTACCAGGTTCCATGTCGGTGCCGCGCTGTGAAGTGTCGTGGTAGCGCCGTTTCGTGATGGCCTCGCGTCTCAGCGATAAAAGCCACAGGGGCCCTTACATGGGGGCCTTGAGGGTATTGGTAAAACGTGAATAGGGGGCCCGGAGTGTATCAGGCAATGCATTTTGGGCCACCGTGTGGGTCACATTGGGGGTCACCGTGCGGGGCACCGTAACTGTCCTGGACCAACCCTGTAGTGACACGATGCTTATATACTTCCATATTCAAGACGCTTCGCAGAACCTCACCAGCCAATCCAGATGCCCAGGCGTCGTGCCCTGATCCGGGATGTGGAGGAGCATGCGGTAGCATGAACGGCTGTGGAAGCCGTCGTATCCCAAGAGGGGGAGGGAGGATGCAGGAGAAACCGGGGGAGGAGGATGAGGAGGGGGAGGAGGACGAGGAGGAGGAGGAGAGAACGAGGAGGAGGAGGAGGAGGAAGAGGAACAGGAACAGGAGGAGGAGGAGGAGGCGGAGGAGGAGGAGGAGGAGGATGAGGAGGAGGAGGAGGAGCAAAGGAAGGCGAGCAGGAGGGGGGAGGAGTGAGGAGGCAAGACGGAGGAGGGGGAGTACGCGGATGAGGAAGAGGAGGAGGGCGAACAGAAAAGCAAGATGTCTTTTGGATCATTTTTTTCGGAGTGGTTTCGGATGTCTCTGTATATAGCTTTTTTGAAGCCTCTTGGTGCGTCTCGGGGCCCACTTGGCGGTCACAGGGGCCTCTTGCAGCGTCTTGGGTGCGTCGCGGGAGTCTCTTGGGGCCTCTTGGGGGTCTTTGGGGAGCCTCTTGGGGACCTCTTGGGGACCTCTTGGGGACCTCTCGCGGCCTCCTCGGCGCCTCTTGAGACCCTCTTGGAGCACTCTTGGGAGCCTAGCAGGCCACCTTGCCGCCATCTTGGGCAGAGAACGATCAAGAAAGGGGGGAGTCAATCGGAGCCCTCCCCCTCACAGGAAATCCAAATGTGCAGAAAAAAGCCCAGTCAAATAATTATGATGCGCCTTCTCGCCGAGGCCGTGTTCGACGCTTCAATCGGTCGCGACTCCCCCCTCCAGGTCCAGGGGTAGGGGGTTGGGGGTTGGGGGTGCGGTCAAGTTACCCCCTCCCCGCCCGCAAGCCGTCTCGCTCACTCCCACCCGCCCTCCCAACACATACGTAGAACCCGAGTTTGGCCCGAGCCTCAGCATATTCAGCAGTCTTCTTTGGATGGGCAGGTACTGGGGGCCAATCCGCCGCCGCCGCCGCCTCCTCCGCCGCCGCCGCCGCCGCCGCCGCTGCCCGCCGCCGCCGCCGCCCGCCGCCGCCGCCGCCGCCGCCGCCGCCGCCGCCGCCGCCGCCGCCGCCGCCGCCCCCCGCTGCCTAACGGCCGCCGCAGCCGCAGCCGCTGCCGCCACCGCCGCCGCCGCCGCCGCCGCCGCCGCCGCCGCCGCCGCCGCCCCCGCCCCCGCCGCCGCCGCCGCCGCCGCCTCAGCCGCCGCAGCCGCCGCCGCCGCCGCAGCCGCCGCAGCCGCCGCCGCCGCCAAGTGTACTCTGTATTGTTTTTTTGACAGGGATGGTGGGGGGGGGCCGCATCGGGTTGGCTGCGCATGTTCCGAATTTGGAGGCAAAGTGTGTTTTGTACTGTTTTTTACAAGGGATGGTGGGGGGGGGGTGTTGGCATGGACTCGGGTTGGCCCCCAGTCGCCTGGGGGAGGGAGTGTTTATTAATAGGGAGCAGTGATCAATACACCCTCCAGATAGCAAGCCGTCTAGCTCACTCCCACCCGCCCTCTCAACACACACAAGTAACACCCGAGCCTCAGCATGTTTCGCGGTCGTTTTTTGATGGACAGCTACTGGGAACCAAAACCGAGCCCATGTGCACGACGCTGGGGGGCGAGGTGCGCCACGCGTGCCAGGCGCGCCACGCGCGCCAGGCACCCCTGGGGCCCGAGCGTGCCAGGCACGCCTAGTGCGCCAGATGCTCCCTCTAGTCGCGCCAGGTGCGCCACGTCCGGGGCACGTGCAGAGTGTGTCAGGTGCGCCTGCGCACATGACAGCACACATCAGGAAACATTTCGCCCCCCCACCATCCCTGTCGAAAACCAATGCCCATCATTGTGTCTGGTGGACCTGCGCACAGCAGGCCATACACCACCACTCCCGCCGTCCCTGACAAAAACCACTTGGCAATGATCGCGGGGTGGCCGCGCACTATCCTCATTTAGCCGCGAGGTGCATTTTGTATTGTGTGTTTGTCAGGGATGGTAACCCTGCGGGCAGCAGGCAATATGCTGACACCCCCGCCGTCCCTTTCGAAAAACAATACAAATTGCCCGCGGGCCTCACGAAAATGACTCCAGACTGTGCCCCAAACTGTATTTTTACTGTTTTTTGACAGGTGTGGTGGGGGGGAGGCCCGCATCGGGTTGGTTGCGTATGCTCCGAATTTGGAGGCAGATTGCGTTTGTTTTTTGACAGGGATGGTTGGGGGGGGCCCTCATGGTGTGCGCATGGTTCCGGGTTGGCTGTCGGCCAGGTGGGGGAGGGGGTGTTTATGAATGGGGAACAGTGATAAACCTTTTCTCGAAGGGGAAGAATGGGGTTGGAAAGTGAAGTGCTCGAAACCACTCGCGCCCTGAAAGGCTGGTGGGATTCTTGCACCTTTTCTTCCATCTTCCTCCCTCACCCTCGTTCTCTCCCCTTTCCGTATTCTATATCCATCCAGTACTTTTCTTCCCCATCCCCTTGGAGCGGGGAGGGCAGAGGCGCAGCCGTCGTCGAATGTGCCCCCACGCAGGAAGCCCGGTATCATCGGCATGGCGAATGGCGGCCCCGACACGAACGGCTCTCAGTTCTTCATCACCACTGTGAAAGCCGACCACATCAGCCACAAGTGTGTCGCCTTCGGCGAAGTTTTGGAGGGGTTCAAGGTGGTCAGTGCTTTGGAGAGCCTTGCCGATCCATACGGTGAGCCAACAAAAGAGATTACAATCGCCGATTGTGGCGTCATGGAGATGACCGAGGCGGAGATTCTGGAGCAGGATTGTTGCGAACCCAAGACAAAGTAGGACAAGGTAGTATATAGTTCGAGCCAACATCGCGAGATAGTTCACACAGCACAGAGCACAGTATTAGACAGACCAAGCATGACAAGCCTATACGAGGCGATACAAGGTGTGATGAAATTAAATAACGCGAGGGGGACCACAATATGAAACTAGGCAGGCGAGGTAAGACAAACGCGAATCCCAACCGCGTACCCAAATTGCACCCTCGCACTTGTGGGCAGTGTGAGTCCATTTGGCACCCTCAGTCTGATGATCCCGACAGCTGTAAGCGTCGCTTCCAAGTCGTTGAAACGCCTTGGGATTTAACCCTTGTGCCCCTAATCAGTGCTTTCTCTAGACAAATTGTTCGTTATCTCCAAACGCGTTGCCTCATGCTCCCAGGACTTTCCTTCGCTCTGGCGTGTGCGTGCCTGTTCCTGGCACTGATGCCGCCTTCCGTTGTCGCCAGTTTCGGTAGTTCGGTCTTGCCTGATTCCTGTCCCCGAGTTGGTGCGGATCCCAGACTGCCCCTTGCCCTGGTACAGCCCTCGTCCGTTACCGCCTTTTTTCTTGTCGGCTCCCCTCGACCTGCGTTTTCCGCACCTTCCGCGCGGCAGATGCCGCGTTGCCGCGGCCGCCGCCGCGGCCGCAGCGGCGGCCACCGTCGAGGCCGCAGCGGCGGCTGCCGCGGCCGCATCTCGGCGGCAGAGGTGCAGGTCGAGGGAACTGTCATGAGTGAGGCTAGGAGGGTGCCAGCTGTACTACTACAGCCACCCTGGCCAAGCATCTCCTGGGCCTAGAACTCAGAGGAGGAAAAGGTACCCATATCGCTACCCTCGGCGCGCTTTCCCTTTTTTGGGCCTCCCGAGCGGCCATCGAAAATTCGCATCAGAACGCACCCTGGGAGAGGTCTGGGGAGTAGCGGTATCGGTACCTTTTGGTTCCTTTTGAGATTAGAGCGTCGCGAGTTATTCGCACCGAAGGATTCCGCCCAGATTCGGGCCACGGGACCCGCACGCATGGAGGCGCAGGTAGGGTGTCGACTTTGCCCTCGACAGTCTCCCGTCATGGGGATGTGCGCGAATCTCCTTGGCTCGGTCATAACCCCGACCGTGCCTGCTCTCGTCCTTGTCCCGGGTACTGCCCTCCCTCGACGCCGGTTTGCAGCGCTGCTATTCATCCTGGCGCCGCCGATTCGATTCGATTCCGATTCCGAGCCGATGCGGTCCGATTCGATGTGCGTTCCGATCCGATCCGTCTTCCCGATTCGATGCTCGCTTTTCCTGGGTCCCGCAGTATCATGTGCAGAGTGCGCGTGTATTGGAATCGGCTGGGGGTCTGAGGTGGCGCAGCACTGGACTGGCCAGCAAGAGGGGGGGGCAGGTTCGAGGTTCTGGGTTCGACAGGGTTTTTGGATTTCTTGTACAAGGGGGGAGTTTTCGGCGTCCAGGACAGTCAAAGACGGATCTGGTGGGAAAATAAACACAAGATGGAACCCGGGAGGGGTTTGGGCTCCCGATTATCTCGGTACCCATCCAGCTGAGAACCCCCGGCAGCCTTCCACGTGTGTACGCTATCTCCGTGCCTCGCCGGACCATCCTGACCCCTAGGGTGGTAATCGAGTCCCTCCTGGCCTCGGCCAGGAGGGCGTAAACACCATCTCAGGGCCTGGGATGACCCTGGCCAGCCACGGTGGTGCATGGGTGCCTTCTGCGAGCGCAGTGTCGCTGGCTCTGGGCCGAGGAGAAGCCGCTGACGAGCCGAGACTACGAGGAGATGGGCGGAGACGCGCGCCATGCGGAGATCATGAAGCAGATCGACAGGTCGCTGAAGGAGCAGCACGCTCAGGGCATGGCCTGAAGCCATGCCCTCCAGTCTCTTCCTGCTCCGTCCTTCACCCCATCCCTCATCATCTCGTCCTCTGGCTCGTCCACCATCATCCATCCTCTTGGCCTCGCGTATCTCGCCTTTCACTTCGTACTCTCCTCAGCTTCCTGCTCTTCGTCCTCATCGTCACTATCACCCTCGTACTTCTATGCTCCTCGCATCTCCGCCTCTGACAGCGCCGCATCCCGCCCGGCGGGGGGGTGGCCTGGATGCGCTTGAGTGGCGCATCGCTGTGCAGCTGTGGCTCGTCATCTCAGGCAGGCCCCGAGTTCTGAAGCCTCCAGCCCGTGTGCCACCCGCAAGGGGTGATTTGGCAATCCGATAAGGTTGAGGAGGAGCAGGAAGCGGAGCCCGACGAAGATTGATGATGTCTTCTCCGTCCCGCTCCAGCTTGCTGCGATTGCGCGGTGCATGAGATCACTGGCTTGAGACCAGCCTTGAGGCGCAGCTTGAGATCGCGTGTTCCGCCGACAGATGTTTGGTTGGCGATCTCTGCGTTGTTCACACGTTTCACGGCGCGTCTTTGAAAATATGCGGGGAGGTTCAGGGCAGCAGCGGGACATGACATGGAACAGCACACATTGCCACCTATACGTTTCATTCACATGCACAGGACGAATGGGCAGATGTAAGAGGGGAGGAGATGAGGAGGGATAACGCAAACGGGAAGCACACATCTACACATACATATGTATCTTTCAAACACATGCACAAGCTATATTCGATCATTACATTTATCTAGGGAGAAGGAGAGGGAGAGAGAACGAGGGATATAGAAAACACACAAACCGAGGGCGAGGGAGACGGAGAGAGGCAGTGGGACAGTTTGACAGAGAGAGAGAGAACTATTATAATTGAGACATGTCTGACATTGGGAGCGAGAGAGAGAGAGAGAGAGAGAGATATGAAAACAAACAAACACGAACATGCATTCATGTATGAAGCAGCGAGCATGACACATGCAGCGTCGGCGGGCTGGGAATGGTTCTTGTCGAGGCTCCCGGTTCCCACCGAAGGGGGGGCAACGAGAGTTACGAGCTAAATATTAACGCGCGCGTGCACGGATTCGCATGGGTTCCAAGAGAGCGCATTGCGCGAGCGTTCGTGACATCAGGCGGCCTCGCGAATTTGGTGACTGATTCGTGGATGTCCATGGCTGGGCGCGCACGTCTTGTGTGGCCCCGTCAAGAGTAGGAGAGCACGAGAAGAGGGCGCAGGGTGCGACGCTCGACTGGCACCGCTCGCTTTGGGCTGGAAGGTCCCCGGTTTACTTGGGGTCCACGGGGGCAGACACCAACACCACCGCGAATTGACGTGGACTGGCGCTCCGCTCGGGGCTTCCAGGCCAAGATTGCTCGTGGTGCCGAAGACCTCGAGAACGCTGCTTGGCGGCCCGCAGGGCCTCCCATCCGGCACCCTCTCCATTCCTGCCGCCCCGTCCGAGCGCCCCCCCATTCCATTCGCCCGTTCGTACCCTCCTGGCTTTCCTTGTTTCCTTTCTCCGTCCTTGCCTGCCAACAGCGAATGGTATTGCCATGGCCTCCGGCCAGTGCCGCCGATCCGGAGCGCTCGGGATGATGATGATGATGATGATGATGATGATGATGATGATGATGATGATGATGATGCTGCTGCTGCTGCTGCTGATGATGAAGCTGCTGATGATGATGACGATGCTGATGATGCTAATGGCTATGATGACGATGCTGATGATGAACATGATGATGCTGATGATGATGCTGATAATGAGGATGACGATGATGATGCTGATGTTGATGTTGATGTTGATGATGATGATGATGATGATGATGTGATGATGATGATGATGATGATGATGATGATGATGATGATGATGATGATGATGATGATGATGATGATGATGATGATGATGATGATGATGATGATGATGATGATGATGATGATGATGATGATGATGATGATGATGATGATGATGATGATGATGATGATGATGATGATGATGATGATGATGATGATGATGATGATGATGATGATGATGATGATGATGCTGATGCTGATGCTGATCATGATGATGATGTTGATGATGATGATGATGATGATGATGATGATGATGATGATGATGATGATGATGATGATGATGATGATGATGATGATGATGATGATGATGATGCTCATGATGGTGGCGATGATGAACATGATGATGATCATTTGCATCATGGCCATGTGCATGGTCTCCATCATGACGATGGTCACGACGAAAGCGCGTTCGGGACGATTCTGGGACCGAGCCCCCGGTGCGGCACGGGGGGGGGTCGGGCACCGGAGGGGGGTGCCGGCACCGGAGGGGGGTGCCGGCACCGGGGGGGGGGTGTCGGCATCGCCGGGGGAGGTGCTGGCACCGGGATGCCAGCACTAGGGGGGGCCGGCACGGGGGGGGGTGCCAGGACCGGGTGGGGTGGGGTGCCGGGCCGGTACCGCGGGGGTCCAGCGGCACCGGGAGGGGTTGCCGGCACCAGAGAGGGTGCCGGCACCGGGGGGGGTGCCGGCACTGGGCTTCTGGGTGCCGGCCCCGGGGAAGGGGTCCGGCGTTGGGGTGGGTGTGTGGCCTCTGGTGCCAGCCTCGGGGGGTCTGGCGTTGGGGGGGGGGTGCTGGAGGGAGGGAGCCTCCCCGAAGTAGAATTAAGGAGAGAGGGGGGGGGGAGAAAACTTGAGAGGGGGGGAGGAGGGGGGAGGCTGCAGAGCGAAGAGAGGGGGGGGGGCTGCAGAGCGAAGCTTGCCCCCTCTCCCTTCTCGCGAGATCGCTCAAGCTTCGCTCTGCAGCGGGGGAGAGGGGGGAAGGGAAGTGAAGGGGGGAAAGGGGAGGGGAGGGAGGGGGGAGGGCCTTCCCGAAGTGGAAAGGGGAGAGGAGGGGGGGGGAAGAGGGGGAAGATTAAGAGGGGGGGGAGCGGGAGGGGGGAGGTGAAGAGAACCCCGCCCCCCCCGGGGGGAGCGGGAGATGGAGGTTGAAGAGACCCCCCCTTCCTTTCAATGAAAAGGGCCGGAAATTAGACGAAATTGCGTCCCCTCCCTGCAGAGCGAAGCTTGAGCGAGCTCAGGCCCACGCTCTCAGAAACTCACACGTCGGATCGGCGGATTTCTTTTCTAAGGAACTGGGCCTGCCCGTCGGTATGACAGCTATGTGTTCGCTGTCGCTGGCCCGTCGCCGTTTTGGTTTGCGTTACGTTGCATTGAGCGGTTATGCTTTGCATTGCTTTACATAGATGTGCATTTCTGTCTCTGCGTTTTTTGCTACTGTTTTGCAGTGTTTTGCATTGATGCTCATCGCTTCGCAAGGCTACGCCTTCCTTTGCATGGCTTTTCGTTGTATTTATTGGCATTGTTTTGCACCGCTTCTCATTGCTTTGCATTGCATTGCATTGCATGGCATTGCACGACATTGCTTTGCATAGCATAGCACAGAAGGGAGGGGAGATGGAGGAGGAGCAGGAGGAGGAGGAGGGGATGATGAGGTTTGCGTTTTTTCCCCCGAAGCAGTTTTTTTGCGTCGTCGTCGTCGTCGTCGTCCTCCTCCTCCTCATACTTCAGATGGCCCGAACACCACCACCACCATCACCACCACAACCACCACCACTACCACCACTTCCACCACCACCACCACTATCACCACCACCACCATTTTGGCTCAAGGGACTTTCGAGGTAAGGAGACCTCTCGGCGAGCCCCACAGAGAACCCCGCGCGCGCGACAGTCTCAGGTTTTTCAGTTTTTTCTTTCGATCGACCTTCCTGTTTCCGCTCCCATTGCCGCGACTGCGAGTTCCGCAGTCGCGACGGCTCTTCTTGCTGGCGAGTCTGCTACGAAGAAGGCCCGTGGTGATGACGTACCGACTGATGACGAGATGTGTGGCGGGCGACCTTCGAGCACGGGCGGTATCCCCCTTCCTGCAGGACCCGCGTCTGCCTGCCGCGGGGTTGAGCAGCGAGGCGCACGCGATGGTGATGGCGATCCAAATGTCACTCCGCCCGCAGTTCGATGGGCTCACTTCGAAAATCGATAATGTGTCGTTGAAGCAGACGACGCTGGACCTGAATATAGATGCGAATGCACAGCGGATGGACGCCTTCAACAGTAGCATGGACAGGACAGACAAGAGCATTGCGGAGTTGACGGCGCGGACCACGGCGCTGGAGCAGAACGGCGTAGGCAGTGTAGGTTCGGCAAGTTCAGTGATAGGAGATTCGGGCGGCACGGCGCATCGTCACCATCCTCACAATCCTTATGCCAAGGGGCGCTTCGTGGGCGCCCAAGACCAGGATACAGATGATCGTCGTGGACGGCTTCCCACAGGACACCAAGAAGGCGATCATACCCCAGAAACTCCGTGAGATCATCTCGATTTCGCCGCAGTTCCCAGGATGGACGGGCCCAGACCTAATGGAGGATTGTTGTACACCTGGGCAGTTCTGCTCCTTTGGCAAGATCAAGTTCCGCTCCTCACAGAACATGTGGACGTTCCTGAACGCCTTCAAGGGCCATCGCTTCACGTGCGAGGGGGACTCTGTTCCACCAGATCGACAACACGGGAAGCGAGAGGACCATGACCAGGAGAACGCCGGCAGCCAGAAATTTCCTCATCGGCGAGCTGAAGAAGCTGAACATCCTCGGCCCGAACCCCATCGAAGGAGGACCTCATCAGCACGGTGCCGAGCTACTGGGACTCGGGGATCGTGCGCTACCGCGCGACCGACGGACAGATCACCAGGATCTACGAGGCGAGCCGTGTGACGGGACTCCTCGAGGTATCGACGACGGCAGGCGGCGCGGCGCTTCGCCGAGGCCCTGCAGGACATCAACTTCGGCGCCCGCTGATGGATGGGTCCAGAAGAGGCCCAGGGCAGGTGCGCCGCATTGCGAGTTGTTTCTTGGAATGCGCGAAGCATCGAATCTGAATTCAATGAGTTTTGTGTTGAACTGGACAAGGAACTGAAGTGGGATGTTCTTCTACTCCAGGAGACAGTATGCTCAGACAGTTTTTTTGGCACATCTTTAGGCTCAGGTCATATTCCTTTTGTCTCGAGCTCCTATCAGGGGCGTAGAAGGACTGCCGTTGTGGTGAATCGCTCGTTTGAGGGGGGCATCGACGCAGACTTTGCATGCCTAGATCGCATGCATGAATTGATCGCAGGCTCACCTTGTCAACACTTAGTGATTGGGGTGGGCGCTCAGACGACGGTTGGAAATCGACATGCGGAGCCCTGGGTTGGACCTCGAACCTCTTTCCGACGGGGCGACGCTGTCGCCCCCCGCTTCCTGAATTTCGTGAAAGCCAACGACCTGGCCCTGGTTGGCGCCCTGGACTCGGCGCTTCTGGAATGCCGGGCGTGCCGCTATGATTATCAGCGCGGTTTCCCCCTCGTCAGATTGGCTTTGTTGGGGTTTCTCGGGGCCTGTTCGATAATGGCGCGCAGTTTGAAGTTGCGATCCCCGCCTCGGCCGCCGCCGACTCGGACCGCGGGCCTCTTGCAGTGGAACTGCGAGATCAGAAGGCGCCCCGACCGCTGAGAACGATCAGATCCCGCAGGTCGAATTTGCGCTGGCACATGCGCGATGCAGAGTATCCGTTTTTGATCTGCGACGAGCTGGCGCTGCCCCTGTTCGAGGCGGCCACGGTCGAGCCGTCCCTGGATCCCAGATGTCGGCGCATCTGGTCCGATGGAAATTTCTTCGGGGGGCGTCGGTTACCGAGGCGGGTGGAACCAAGGGCGGGATGGGGCTTTGCTGTTTTTCCTCCTGGATGTAATGCGCCAACATCTCGGGGGGAGTCGCTAGTCTCGGCACGAGGGCCAGTCGCGAGCGACCCGGGCCACATTGCGTTTCAAGGTGCCGTGGGGGGGGCGAGCGGCGCGGCCGAGAGCACGGCCATTATCGAGTTATGTTTCTGGCTTCTTAAACGAGGACAGGTTCAGTTAGGCCTCTCTGTCACCCCGGGGGCCCGACAGCGGCCGAGGACCGACGAGTGCCTGATGCCCCTGGGGCCCGCCATCACGTTGCACGTCGGGTCCAAATCGCAGCGGGGGCCACTCGCCCAAGGGAAAACGCTCGGATCCCTCATCTCCTGAGGCGCCTGATGCAGAACGCTCGGAAGCATTTCAAAATCGACATCGTCTGGGGCAAATCTCACCAGGAAGAAAACGCGGGGAACGACTTCGCCGATTTTCTAGCGAAACAGGAGACCGCTCTACCCGCGGAAGCTGCTGGATGGCATCGCCCCCGCCAAGACGATTGGTTTCAAGATGATATTCTCAGTCTGCTGGGTGGGGCCCAACATTTGCTTTTGACCTTGCGCGTGCAGTTGGCGATTCAGAACGCGAGGCTAGACGTCAGCTGCCCGCAGCACCTCCATGGGGGGGCGACCGAGGAGACCCTGGACCTCCCGTTGCCACGACTGGATTCGCAAGGCCTCGATCTTCCGACGATCCGAAAGTTCGCGGGCGTGGCGGCTAGCGTTGCAGCTCGTTGCGGGAAGGGAGGGCCGAGATCTTCAGCCAGCGCAGTTCCACAGGACCACCCGCTGCTGCAGCGCTCGCGGGGCCTCCAGCGGCAGCTAAGGGTGGGATCCAGAGGCCATGTCCGCGGGGCCCTGGCGAAGGAACTCTACAGGGCGAGACGTGCGATATCGCGACTACGAGCGGCGGCAAATGTCGACGAGAGCCTGAAGACGAAACATTCTCTGCACCACCGGAAACACGACCCAGAATACGTATCTTACGACAACTTCTCGACGACGGATCCATTCAGGCGGCGACGACCGCCGAAGGGAAATCCCAGATGTTAACCCCCACCTACTCCGACCTCTCCAGAAGAGCCCAGAGTGCGTCGGGGGCCCGCTTGGATACATGCCCACTGGAGCCCCGCTGCGCTGGACTGTTTCAGGCGACTGGATCGGGGATGGGTGAGTGACGGTTTGATGAAGATGAATATGGGGAAACGGGGATCCAATATAGATGGGGCCGTGGTGGAGATGTTGTCCAAGTTGCCCGAGCAAGCGATGGAATGCGTCGCAGAGCTGTTTCGCAACCGCCTTCTGCACGCTAAGGGGGAGGAGGAGGACGAGGCATGGGGGGCGCACGCAATCGACCTGCTGACCATGACTGGCTTCAGCATGAGCGGTAGTGTCGTGGACCTTCGCCCGATCACACTTCTGCCAGTAATCTACAAGTGGCGCAGTCACAGCCTGCGGCTCCTGCTTGCCCCCGAAGAACGGAACCATTCGAAATGCCAGTTCGCGTTTCGGTCGGGGTTCCAGTCGGAGGGGATCCTATTCATAGTTGGACCGTTGATCGAGAAGTGTAGCGAATGGGGCCCTGAACGCCTGCTTTTCACGTTCGCAGGAGACATTCATTTTGAGGGCCTGCGACTATGCCGACCGTGCGGGCGTTGCAGCTGCTGGGGCGCAGCCGGGCATCCCGAAAGTAATACTGGCAGGGTGGCTAAGGGGGGTGGGAAGGGTGGGGGCGACTGTTTCGTTGGATGATATGACCGCATCCGGCCCCGTCGCGCGAGCTCGCTCCCTTGTGCAGGGGGGCCCAGCTGCGCCTTTCCTGTTCAATCTGAGACTCGACGCCCTGATCGATGTGTTCGCGCGGCGCTGCGAGCGCCGCGGATGGGGATGGGGTTTCCGCTGGCAGGTTTCGAAGGGGAACCCCGACCAGGACCTGTTCATCCCGATTAGATGTTTCGCCGGCAACCACTGGATCTCGGGGGGGGGGAGGGGGGGGGGCGAGGGCGGAGATGAAGATCATGGCGAATAACTGGTTGCAGATTTTGAAGGAGGGGGGTTGCAAGGTGGATCTGTCGGAATGCCAGTGGTCGAGTACATCCTCTCCCGATGCTCCGTGCTGGAGCGAAACGGCGGTCCTGGCCGACGCTGAGATCGAACGGGTTCCGAGGGGCGGAACGATCGAGATCCTGGGGGGCGACAGTGTCGCGCGGCGGACGGGGCGACGGAGCATTGGGGCATCGGATTTCCCGGACCTGGAAGACTTGGTTTCGATGGCGTGGCGTCCTGTGCCGCCATTCCGCTCTGCTAGACAAGCGGCTGCTGCTCTCTGATAGTCTTGTGCGCGACGGTCTGTTCTGGGGGGCCAAGAGGTGGGCGCTCCGACGCGATCAGTTCGCGAAGTTGCGTGGCCTGCAGGGTGCGATGCATCGTCGGGCATTCGGCTTTCGGAAGAAAAGTCAGACGCCGTGGGGCGAGTTCATGAGAGACACCTACTCCAAAATAAACGAGACGAGGAGGAGGTTGGGAATCAGAGATTGGGACATGTACTTGACTGAGCTGCAATACCGATGGGCAGGACACCTGGAATCCTTGAGTGAGCGTGACCCTGCCCGCCTCTCCCCTCAGGTCTTCCTTTTAGATGCGCCAGGTTTTTACGCGCGCAGGAGCAAGCGCTGGAGCGCGGCCGACAAGGCCATGCCCGCAAGCTCCGCCCCTGAAGGTGGGAATCCTTCCTCTCTCGTTGCCCTCGCCCCCACTGGCCTTGGAATAGCATGGCCAATCAACCGGAATTGTGGGCCTATCACATGAATAGTGTTGTCAATTGGCGTTCGTTTGCAATATTATAGTTTTTGTTGTTCCTTTGTTCAATGTTTTTTTTTTTTTTCGCTCGCGCCTGCGTTCTCCCAGCTCTCACATGGCCGAGACTCGTCTCGAGGAACGTACATACATACATACATACATACATATATACACAACCACCACCACCACCGCCACCACCACCACCACCACCACCACCACTACCACCCACCCACCACCCACCCACCCACCCACCCACCCACCCACCCACCCACCCACCCACCCACCCACCACACCCAATACCCACAGGGGGGGTAACGCTGAACCTCATACCCACCGCCGCACGCCCACAGGGGAAAACCCCACCACACATCGCGCACAGGGGGGGGGGTGCCATCGCGCGGGGGGATGCATGAGGGGTGGGTGGGTGGGTGGGGGGGGGCAGAGCCTTGACCACGCACGCACACATTCACACACACACACCACACCACACCACACCACACCACACCACACCACACCACACCACACCACACCACAACACAACACAGCACAGCACAACACAACACAACACAACACAGCACAGCACAACACAACACAACACAACACAACACACGACACCACACCACAACACAACATAACACAACATAGCACAACACAGCGCAACACACCACAGCACACCACAGCACAACATACCACAACACAACATAACATACCACAGCACACTACAACACACACGCACACACAACACACAACACACAACACAACACACACACAACGCACACAACACAAGCGCACACACACACGCACTCGCACACGCACACGCACACACACACACGCACACGCACACGCACACGCACACGCACACGCACACACACATTCGCACATACACACACAACTCACAACACACAACACACAACACACACATACACACACGCATGTTCCCCGCTTCTTTGTCAGAAGGCCCCGCCACGGTGCCACCGAGATGCCCGACTGCTAGCCACCCGCGCTGTGTGTTGGCGTGCCCCCGCCTTCTCTGGACAGATCCGTCCGCCCCTCGCCCGTGCTCGAGTGCACGTGCGTGAGAATGACCCTTCGCCAGAGTGACCTCCGTGGCGCGGCTTTCGGGGTATGAGGGGGGTCATGCCCAAGCACGCAGGTCGCTACTGTCGCATCGAGTCTGCCAGGCCGCGCAACCAAAGGCCACAGGGTCGCTCTTGCGTGCAGCCGACCCTCTCATCAATTCTTCCATCCCTTATTCCGCTCCCTCCCTCCTGCCCCTCCCCCCCCTCCTCCCTTGCCTCACATCCCCCCTTTCCGCCTTCCCCGGTCCCGCCGTCCCTCCATCCCTTCCCCCTTCTTCAACTCCCTCCCGCCCTCTTGCCCCATGAGGTGCCCAACGGGGCCCTTTTGCGGACAGCTCGCGGCGGAACCATTGGGCAAAACCTCCCTTGGCCCGAGGCTGGTCGCCCGTAAGGTAGGGCCCCGTCGCGGGAAGAAGGTTGCCGACAAAAGCCCCGCGGACATCCCACCTTTGAGGATACAACTCTTGGGAGGTTCAATTCGCGATCGGCGCTCGTGAATCTCTGGCCGACAGCTGGCCGAATCTGGTTGAATCCCCTTTAACCCGGCTTAATATCCCGTTTCAGATGCGTAATGCGGGTTTTTATCCTGGGCTGAATTTGGCTTCGTTTGGCTCAGTGGCCCTTTGCACCGGGCTCAATAGCCATCAACCGTTCTTACGAAGACCTCCCAGGAGTTGCCTCGTAACCCCTTGTGCCCCATGCCTTTAGTCGTTCTTGCCAGGACCTCCCAGGAGTTGCCTCGCAACCCCTGGTGCCCCACCGCTCCTCCAGCGGCCTGGCCAGCGGTGCAATCGCGGACGCTCTGGCCCGAGCCCGCGCGGCCCGCACGCTGCCGCCCCAGGAGCTGGCGCCTGCCGCACAGGGGGGAGGAGCAGGGGCGTCCCTCTGCGATGCGGGCAAGATTGACGCCCATTTCCACTGCGTCTTGGACTTTCTTGGCAGGGGCGCCACAGGGCCGAGGCGCCCTGGATACAGAGATGAAGATCGAGCCCTCCGGGGCCGGAGCTTTCTCCAGGTCCAGTGCGCCTCGGGCTGCTGTGGATCTGGGCACAAGCCTTGCCCGCACTGCTCGGGGAGGGGCGTTGGTGCCTCTCCGCGAGGGCGGCGGGCGCATGGGCCGCTGAGGCGCAGGCGCCTCGACGCCCCTGGGCGCGCCCCTCGGCGCGGCCCGCCCGGGCACTCGGAGGGCACTGGCTGTGCACCTATGGCTGGGGCGTTCGTTGGCGGATGTTCCCAGGAGGCTTCTGACCCTGAGGGGGGTCCTCGTCTGAGGAGGGCGGCGGCGAGATCCATGGCCAGAGCCTCGATGGGAGTCCCACAGGATTCCAAGCCCTTTCGATTCCACATCCATCTGCACTGCCAGAGGCTCCTTACTCTATGCCCTCGCCGTGCACGGATCCTGGCCAGGCCTATGCAGGAGCCGGACCTGTGTATACGCCTTCCTGCCGAAGCCAGGAGGGCGTGCATTCTGGTCCTGGTCCCAGCACGGTCCTGGCCAGAGCGGAGGTCCCCTGCCACCGCCGTTTTGGCCTTAAGGGGGCCCTCGCCAGGCTCCAGGGGCAGTCGACAGAACGACTCGGGACGCAGCACCGGGGGGGCCGCATATGGACAAGTCAAGGCATCGGATGTTTGGGCTCGGCGGGGCGCTTCAGTGGCTGGGATGCAGGGGGGGGGGGAGGGGCGTCAGTGGGCAGGGGCCCCCTTTGGAAGGGCCTGTAGGCTCCTACAGGTAGGCTTCCTGGGCGTCTGGGGGGGGCTTCTGAGAAGCCACCTGCCTACCTGCCGGAAACTCGCAAAAAGGTGCCGTTGAACAGAGTGGTGTTCGTGTTCCTGGCTTGTGCTTCTGTCGCTCTCGCTGGAGGTCCAAGCTGTTGTCCAAGTGCTCTCTCTGTTTCTCATTATTTCTCTCTCTCTCTCTCTCTCTCCCTCTTCCTTTCTCTCTCTCTCTCTCTTCCCTCACCCCTCGTGCATGCCCGACTGGTTTGGGCCGTGTAAGTACGTTTCTTGCTCCTGGGTGCTGGCCCGTTCGTGCCAGTTTCCACTCCAGGCGCAATCATCCTCGGCCTCTTGTCGGGGCAACGGTTCTGACTTTGAACGTGTTTGAGTGGGCGGCGTGTCTCCTCTCTCTTCCTATTCTCGGTGTGCTGTAAAGGACATGTCGGGCTTGCGTAGAGTATGCCGACGAGGTCAAATCGCCAGCATCTCAGGGATAATTTCTTTCTACTGCTCATACAGTCGCGTCCCCTTGTGTGCGGCTTGAAACGGTGGTTTGCACCTGGTATGCTCGTTTCCCTTGTTCGTCTCCTTCGTTTTTTTTCTTCTCCCCTTGAGGAGTCCTGTAGGTCGTGCCGGTTTTCTTTGCGACTCGCGGCGCTTAGGCACGGGATCTGGACTCCGCGTTCCAGCCGCATGCGCAGGACAATATTGCTACGTTGCCGTGTCTGTGCGCTGGCAAAGCTTTCGCGTGTTGGCTCTCATATTGCAGACTGGCGCTCAGGTGATCTTGGGTTTGCCTAGTGCATGCGGTGGGGCACTTTTGGTGTGTTTGTTCTTTGGGGAAAAGGTAATAGTGATCACTCCAGGCGCGCATGCTGCTGAGGCGGTTTGTGCCAGTGGTTTGGTGCTGCGGGCTTCTAGTGCTGCGGGCTTTTTCTGGGTGCCTCCGGCCAGGTCAAACCACCATCATTGGTTTTTGTTTGCGAGCATTTGGTACTGGGGTAGGTGCATCCCTGCAGTCCTTGCAAGTTGTTTTTTTTTTACCGCGAGTGGCTTGCCGACTTGTGGGGCCTCGGGCTGTGATCAGGTTGCGGAAGGTTTGCTCCTGAAGTCTTGCTCTCTCTCTCTATATATATTTCTGTCTCTCTCTCTCTCTTTGTCTCTCCCTCTCTCTCTCCCTCGTCTTCGTTGTGCTCTCTCTGTCTCTGTCTCTGTCTCTCTCTCTCTCTCTCAAGACGTCTGGCTCAAGGCGCTGGGCTCAAACGTTTGGGGACCCTCAAGCTATGTGTGGGCCATTTGGGCGCACCTTCAGGCCTGATCCCGCCATCCCTCACGTTTTACATTTCGGGTGAACCGAGGTGTCTCTGGTTCCTGTGGTCGCGAGCGCGCCGCGACGTCTGGCAACCGCTCCCCGCTGTTCCTCGAGAGTGAAGTGGAGGCCGTGCTGCCCCAGACCCCATCCACAGCTGCCGCGGACCACCCGGGGGCTTGCACTCCAGTTCGCGACCTGCTGACGGGCAACCCGTGGGAGAAGACGCGCTGGAGGGGGCCAATTGGCGCCTTTCGGTCATGGCCCAGACTCGCCGTTCGCACCATTGCTGGGACAAAGGGAGGGCAATTGTTATTTGCAGATCCTAACTGGCGCAGAAAACACGACCGAAAGTAACGGCGGTCCCGTCCGACAGCCTGATTTTGATGTTGCCGCCGCGTCTGGGTTAGGAGCCGAGCAAGAGACCACGCTTGGGATCGCGGCTCTCCTGAAGGAGCACTTGGCGGGGCAAGTGGCACCCATGATTTCGATCGTTGAGACGCTCTGGCAGGATTTCGAGAAGTTGTGCCCCCAGGTGATAGCGGCGGGCGAGACACTCCCGAACCGTCTTTCGGACGTCATCATCACCGCCGAGGTCCGCGTGGACAAGTTGAAGTACGCGTGTGAGGAGGCGTCGAAGAATGTGCCTCCTTCGGCTGGATACACCGAGACCATGATCATGGAGTGCATCTCGGACTTCATGAGGCAGGGGCCCGCCTTGGGATCCGTGCGCGCACGCGCGCAGCAACAACCAGCAATTCACAGGCGCATGTTCACGGCGGCGGCCGCGAATGTGGACGGCCTCCCGAAGCTTCGCCAGGCGTTGAAATTGTTGGAAGAGGATCTGGTCTACGTCTCCTCTCCGCTTAAGGTTTACGGGAAACGCGCCCATGCCAGCCACGTCTTCCCGGAGTTCGGTTTCCCCATGGATCGAGATTGGGCGGTGGAGTTTCTTCGGGGAGTTGGGTTCGGAAGCGGGGGCGAGCACGGGCAGTCAGGGCCGCCGTGCCCAGAAGAGAGCAGCGCGAAGGTTTTGCCTCGGCCTGCAGCGCCTCCTCAAGAAAGAGCTGGCGGTGCCCTGCGCGATCTCGATCGAAGACGAGGCGCCCTGCGTGGTCGCGGCGCGCGGCGGGCGCGCGCTGACGACGAGCGCGGCGGCCGACAAGCGCAGCGCGAGTGGCAGGGGGGGCGGGCCGCGTGGGATACATTCCGCGAGCATCCGAAGGTCAGAGACATCATGAAGACATATCACGACGTTGTCTCCCGCGCGATGGATGCAGGGGCAGGCGAAGGGTGGCTCCAAGGGGGGGCCACACTATTAGGCAACGCAGTTGTTGAACATAGTTGTACCCGCATTGCTGCATTGCTGCATGCCGAAGCCCACGCAGTCTGCATTGCTGCTGCTGCAGTGTCTCTGCATGCGCAAGCCCAAATTGTTGCTACATAGTCTGCAGTGCTGCATGTCGAAGCCCACATCGAGTGATTCAGCAATACGTGGGCTCCAGCGCGGCCCGCTGACGACGCCACTGCGGGCGCGTTCTGGGCGAACGCCAACGCTCGCGCCGAGGCGGCATTATTCCGAGAAGGGCGGGCATTGGTTGCCGGCGCTGGTTTGCAATTTGTGGCTTGGAGCGCCGAGGGTTTCGCTGGGGCGAAGCTTGTCGGGCGTCAGGTGCATGTGAACTCGAATGGGATGCTTTAACTTTGCCTGCAGGAGACACACGAAACGAAGTCGGAGTGTACAGTCGCCGAGGAGGGTTTCTTGCTGACCTCTGGAAGTCTGACGACGACGCGAATGAGACGGCTGGTGTGGGCAGCGCCATGGGGTTCTGGTGAGCTTCTTCGAGAATGGCCTCTTTCAAGCTGGGAGCTGATAGCGGCAAGGCTGTCGCGCGCACCGCGTGCGCTCCTCGTAGCGGAAATCGCCGTTGGAGATCAGTCTTTCTTGCAGGATTTGATTGCGTTACTTGGGCCATCATCCTGCAATGCGCCTGCGTTCGCACGTGGAGATTTCAATGCGAGGCCCCGTGCGTGGCGCCCAGGTCAGGGGGGCATTATCTGTGGGCGCGCCTTCGGCAGCCTTCGTGCGCTTCAAAACCCGCCATCGAATCTATCTGTCTTGGTCGACCCACTGATTTCTCTCGGGGCCTCGCGGTTGCAAGCGCGCTGTGCGACGTGCCGGCAGGAGGGCGGATCAGCCGCCGCGACGTCGGTGCGTCTCCAGCGGCCCCCCCTACAGAGCAATATTTCGGCCGGCTCATCTGCGTTGTCGTCAGCGCGGCGCGGCAGAGGATCGTTGCGGAGTGTTCGCGGCGACGCGCTAGCCTCGACCAACTTCCCCGTCCGATCGCGCGTCCATGTTGACGCCCCCCCTGGCAGGGCCGAGGGCCCGCGGCGGGGGGATTGGCACTTCGGCGCGCGGTGCTCTGAGGGTTTCACGGGAAAGGCTCGTGGAATGGAGGCGCGCTTGAGCCGTTTGTGGTTCGGGGCGCGCCTCCGAGCCCGTTCTCGCGAAGGAAGGGAGTTCCCTGCGGGGTGCCGCAGCCGTGGTGGTCGTCGCCTGGCTCGCGGTCCCGGCGTTGGCGGCCTTGCTGCGATCGGGCGCGGGCGCGGTCGCCGCCGCTGGGTTGCCCGCGTCGCTGGGCCGCCGCCCTGCGGCTGGCGCCGCGCCGCCGCTAAGTGCCTTGTCGCCGCCCGCCGCCGCCGCGCGGGCCGCCGCAGGGCCCCCGGCGCGCTCCGCGCCCGCGGCGCCCAGTTCGGACGCCGCGCCCCTCTTGGCGTGGGAGTCCGAGACCGCGGAGAGGGGCTGCGCGCGTGAGGGCGTGGATCATTCTCCCGCGGCGGGCTTCGCGAGGGTCGACGACGCGGCATCTGGCGGCGCTGGAGAAGCTCGCTGGGCCGACGGCTGCCGAACTCGTTCCAAAAGTCGAACGGGCGACGGCTGCCAGCGAGGGCGCGGGGCTGTCTCTCGAGGTGGCTGCGCGGCCTCCCGCGGCGGCGCTGCCGCCCGAGGCCGCTCGCGAGCGCCGCGCGCGCGGCGCGTGCAACGGCGGGGAGGTGTTGGCGACCCCCGCGCCGGGCGGGCCGAGGGTCGGTGTCCAGCGCGACGGCCGCGCGGCCGACCTCGCCATCGAGGACGGAGAGGATGGCGCCGGCGAGGGCGGCGGGGAGGGCAGCTTCGAGGAGATTGGCTTGAGGTGCCGCCCGCCGCGGGCGCCCCTGCCACGGCGCCCGCCAGGCCTGTCGCCGCCGCTCGGCGGCCGCTCGCCCTGGGGGCCGCGGCCCCGCCCGCGCCCGTTGCCGCCGACCGGGCTCGGTGGAGGCCCGCCGCGCCGCCGCGGGCCCGCCGAGGTTGGAGGGTGAAAGAAGGGGTCTGCAACGGGGGGTCTTCAATGTGGGCTGAATGGCCCATGTGTGCTCAATGTGTCGCTCATGGTGTGATCGGGCGCGATTGGCGCCCAATGCCGGCGACCGCGGAGGGCCAGTCGCTCGTGCCCGCGCGCCGCCCGCGCGGGCAAATGCGCCGTCCGCCCATTGTGGTTCACGCGTGCGGGCGTTCTTGCATATCGCGCGTGGGGCGGCGAAATGGAGTGCAAGTGTGCCTTTATTGATGATCGCGTATGTTCCCAGACACTTGTCGACCCCCTAGACAGATTTGGAATGGGTCCCGCGATTCCCCCAATATGTGAATTCACATTTTCTTTTTTTTCTAACTCAGCCGCTCGAGGCGCCAGCAGCGTTGCGGCGCCTCCCCGGCGCGCCGCCCGGGGCGGCGCTGCCCCGGGCGGGCGGGCGCGCCGCGTCAGGGCTGGGCCGAGTCGCTGCATCGGGTCGCGCCGTGCCGTGCTACCTGCGACCCCGCCGCCGCCGTTGCCGACGCCGAGGCCCGCGTCGGCTTCGACGCTGGCGCCCGCGCCGACGTCCGCGTCGGCGCCCGCGCTGGGCCCGACCGCGCTGGCGGCGTCCCAGACACCGGCGTCTGCGTCAGCGCGGACTCCACCAAATGTCGCCGGCGCCGACGCCGACGCCGACGTCGGCGCTCAAGTGCCTGTCCATGGTCGCGCGTGGTCCCTCTGCCTCTCCGCGGAGCTGGGGAATTGCGCGCCCTTGCCAGCCTTGCTGCGATTCGCGTCGATGCCCCCGATCCGCGATGGAGAGTGGCAGGCGCGGCGCACGCTGGGTCGCACGGGCGCCGGCCCCCGTGCGCTGGAGAGCGCGCGCGCGGAGCTGCAGTGGATCTGGAACCGACGCTGCTCGGGTGAGCAGGAGGAGTGGCCGGCGCCGGGCCGCGCAGCGAAGGTGCGGCAGGCTGGGGGGCGGGCGAGACGGGCAGCATCGAGGCGCCCTGTGGGCCCCGAGGCTGGTGATCTGCGCGCGGAGACGGGCGGTGAGTCGATCCACCTTGAGGCCGCCAGGTCGCGCGCCGCGTCCCTCGCCCGGCTCCAATGCTGGCTCCCGCGCGAGCGCTGACGCCGTCGCAGTCGTCGGCGTCGACGTCGACATCAACGTCGACGCCCGCGCCAACGCTAGCGCCGGCGCCGACGCCGACATCGACGCCAACGGCGGGTCTAGCGCTGGCGCCAGTGCCGGCGATGATATTTTCGCCCGCCCCGATGCGCGCGCCTACGGGGGCCCCAATCCGCTCTGGGCCAGGGCAAATACGGGGTCCGCGTCGACGATCCACACTGCGCGCTGCTGTCGCACCCCGGGCGCGACGAGGAGGGTACCGCCGAGGCACGCGCAGGGGGCGGCTTGGACTCGCCCGAGCAGGCGGCCTGCGTCGCCGCCAGCGTTGGCGCCCGCGTTGGGGCTGGCGCCCACGCCCGCGCCAGATCGACGCCCGCGCCGCCGCCAACGTGCGCGCCAACTCTGACGTTGCCAGCGCCCGCGCCGGCGCCAGTGCTGGCGCTCGCGTCAGCCTCCCTGCCGATCCCGATATGGGCGCTCACGCTGGCGCGAGCGCCGCCGTCGACGCCGGCATCGAAGCCCAACGTTGGCGACGGCGCCGGCGCCGGCGCATGCCCCGGCACCTGCGCCCCCGCCGACGCCGGCGCTGGCGCTTGCGTCAGCGCCAGCGCCGTCGCCAGAGCCAGAGCCGACGTCGACGCCGGCGCCTCCGCGGGCGCCGACGCCGCCTCCGCCGTCGCGCGCGCGGCAAGGGCCTGCGCCGGCGACCGCGTCCGCGCCGTCGCCGGCGCCGATGCGACGCCCTCGACGGCGCCTGCGTCAGCCTGAACGCCGGCGCCGTCGTCTGAACCGATTTTCGCCCCAGCGTTGGGGCCTGCGACGCAAGAGTGGGGGCCTGCGCCAGCCCCAGGGCGGCGTCTGCGACGTTGCCTGCAGGTCTTCGGCGCGGCGCGTGCCTCGAGCTGGAGTCGCGGCCGCGTTGGCGCGCGCGGGCCCCGGGAGGGGCGGGGCGAGGGGCGCGCGCCGAGAAGGAGGAGCGCGCGGAGCACGAGGCCCTTGCGAATCGCCACGCAGAGCAGGCGACAACCCCTGGCGGCGGGCTCGGCTTTGCTGGAGACCAGCGAAGCCGCTTGCAGGTCGCGCTCGGGGCCTCGTCGAGATCGCGCAACTGAGGCGCGAGGAGTCTCTCCGCAGGGCCGAGAAAGCCTTGGAGGCAGAGCAGCAGCTACTGGGCGAGGCGCGCCACCGCCACGCCGTGGGGCAGGCGCGGGGCCTCGTGGAGATCGGGCGCCACCTCGCTCCCGCCGAGGGCATAGGCGAAGCCGTCGCGCCCGCGTCCTTCTCGATGGGCGGTGGCGCCGAGGGGGGCTGCCAGTCCATGTGCGCGGGTCAATGTGAGGCCCCTCTACGCAGGTCCATGTGCGCTGCCTTTAGCAGCGAGCTCTGCCGGTCCATCAGCGCCGTCAGCGGGTCATGGTTGCGGATGAGACCTTTCTTATTTATTTCTGAGTTGTTTGAGATCAGGCGGCGTTGAGCAGAGAGTCTGGAGCGCGCACTGCGGCTTCGAGAACAAGTGCGGGGCGCCGGCTGCGATCTCCTTCGTTTGCTTTTGTCGTCTTCTTGAGCGTAAATGGGCAAAACAGCACGGGCGCCTAGTCTTGTTGGCTCTGGACAGGGTGAAGGAATTTAGCCTATCCGTGGAGGGTTCGGTGTTGCCGCGCATTTCATATACGCCGTGCGTGCCATTTACGCAGATCGCACATTCTCCCTCTGTGACGCCGGACAGACGCTTGAGGAGTATCCGCAAGAGTTCGGTATCAGTCAGGTGTGGCCGCTCTCCTTTTCTCATTCGCAATCTGGATAATTTTCTCGTTGCGCGACGCCAGAAGAGAGGCGGAACCCAGTCTGAATAAGAGCGCGCGTGCACGTGCATGTGCATGCAGAAGACGCGCCGCTCGCCACCTCAGGGGATTTCTTCGCCCGCGGCGTACGCGCATGCCTTGCGGCGCGCGGGGCAACGGTGCGGTTTGCAACTCACTTGGCGCAAGAACAGAAGCTCTAGCCAGAGGTATTGACGCGTGCCTTCTCAACCTGGGCGGCGCCCAGATCCCGCATGGGAGAAACGTCGTCGGTCTAGGTGGGTTGATTGGCGGCGACGGCAAGATGGGATCAGAGTTCTCGCCTTAGTGCTGCAGGTGCAGATTGTGACAAACTGACCAAATGGAACCATTCAGCTGTTACGCGACAGAAAATATTGAAGCTTTCGAACAATATCAGATGTTCTTCACATTTCGACTTATGATAAGCAGGAAGTGCGCCGCGTGGGCGCGTTCCACGAGCAGTGCTTGCACAGACCTTTCGCGTTGTATCATTCATGCATCAGCATAATATCGGACGACGCCGTGCTTACAGGGCCAGCGCCTTCCCGCTTAGCAACGCGCTCTTCGGCAGACTGCTGGATTCTGTTTGGTCGTCGCCGGAGAGCCAGGTGACGACGCTGGGCGGCGCGCAGTGTTTCAGCCTTTTTCCTCCCCCCTCCGCCCAAGGAAGGAGAAAACGCCCATGCACAACGTGACCCCAAGAAATCTACAAGCAGGCCTGCGAAACACCTAGGGGTGGGGAGGCCCTTCCGGCGCTGTGACACGACGCCGTTTCTGCGGCCACGCTGTGGCGGGTCGCAGTCAATATTGCGACCTCACGTGGTCGTGGGTGTGTGCTCGTGTGCGTTTAGTACTCAGCATTTTGCTTGCTTGCTTGCTTCCTTGCTTGTTTGCTTGCTTGCTCGGCGGCCCCGCTCGCCCTGGGCAGCGCGGCTCAGGCCCGGCCCGCGGCAGGCGGACGCAGTCGGCTTTCAGGCCGAACCTCTTGGCTGCTACCTGGACGTGGATTGGACTACCACCCCAGGCCGCTACCGACCACCCGGTGGCACAACGTTGCACATCGCCTTCGTGGTCATCCTTATCTCTTGGGCCTCTCCTCGCCAGTCGGTGGCACCTGGTGCACTTCGCCTACCTGGTCTTCCTCTACCTCACGGGCGCTGACCTGGTCACGGCCCTCCCCACGCAGCGCTCGAGGATGGTGATTCTGGCGCGCCGTTGACGGTGACGCCACTTCGCTCTCCCTGCGGGACTTCGCCCCCGGCTCCTGTCCAAGAAGTACCTTTTCCTGTGCAAGCTCTTCGGCGCCGCTTGTACTCCGCACCCTCCGGCCGCCCCGCCCGCCCGCCCGCGCCCTGCCTCCCCAATTCGTGCTTCGCGCGCCCCGCTTAGCTCTTAACTGGAAGAGGCCCGCTCTCGACCCGCCGACGAAAAAAAATGCTTGCTTGCTTGCTTGCTTGCTTGCTTGCTTGCTTGCTTGCTTGCTTGCTTGCTTGCTCTCTCTCTCTCTCTCTCTCTCTTTCTCTCTCTCTCTCTCTCTCTCCCTCTCTCTCTCTCTCTCCCCCTCTCTCTCTCTCTCTTTTTCTATCTGTCACCCCCCTACCCTTTACTTCCCGTCCTCGCTGTTTCCCTCGGGATGATAGGAACTAAAGCGTTTTTTGATCGCTGTGCTCGCCTCTTGCTGCTGCAATCCGTCGTTCGCGCTTCCCCCTGCCCCCCTTCTTCGGTTCTCCCGCCTTGATTGACGCTGCGTGTTTGAACAACTATACAAGTGGCTGTTTGGGCACGAGGGGACCGTCGCACAGCGCCCTTGCCCCTTCGCCTCCTCCTCCTTCCTGTCTTTCCAATCCGTGTCGGAATTCGGGACCCGAAGATCCGCCACGCTCGGAAAACAGACGTGGTGTACAGCTGGAGGCTCCAACGAAACAAAAAAACGTCCAGGGGCAGTGTTAGGCGGCATAAATTCCGGAGGGGACGCATTGACACCCAATCGCCCATTCATCGCCGATGCGGGCCCAGCAAGCCCACCTCGCCCAGGAGCGTGGGGACTCGCAGGCGGGGTCGTATCGCCAGCATATCTGTGATGCCATGTCGCCGACCCCTGGTCGACGGCTGCCCCCTCTGAGCTGTTCCCCCTCCCGCGTTGCTCCTCACCGCTGCATGCGCCGCCAAGGCACGACGCGGGCGTTCCCGGGCCTGGCGGTGGCGCCCTCGTTCCGGAGCGCGCGGACGGCCGCCGCCGCAGCGCCCGCGCGCCGAGTCCCATGAAGGCGGCGGTGTCTCGTTTTCTCGTGCTCGTGCCTGTCGTCCGAGGCGCGGGGGCTCAGACGGGTCCACCGCCGGGGGAGCCATTCTCAGAGGAGGGCCAGCCGAGACATCGGCGGCCTTCCCTTCGACCTGCACCTTCCGTGCCTTCCGCGAGGAAGGTGTTGTCGCGATGCGGCCGCGGTGGCCGCGGCAGCGGCCGCGGCCGCGCGGCACGTGCTGGTGCGAGAGGTGCAGGTCGAGGGTCCCTCCCAGGCATTCGTTCGTCCTTCTGTGGTCTCCTGAGGGCTTGTCGTTGCCACGGCTGGATCCGCCTCGAAAAACTGGTCGGAACGGACCCCGGGAGGGGTCTGACCAGGTTCGGGCCAGGCTGGAGCCGCCGTGGTGGATCTCTGGGGGCGGTGGATGTGGATAAAATCGGGCCCAGCGCAGGCCCAACTGTACCCATGCCCGTTGCCCCCTAGGAGAGCGGGCTTTCTGGCGGCGGATTAGTTAAAATCCTGGCCTCGCATGCCATGCTTCCGTGCCTCTGCTTTCGAATGTATCGCTTCTTTCATTTTCCCTCGAACATTGCGCTGCCTCTCTGTATCATCGATTCCCCCCAAGACTTTGGTGTTTTCGAGCATCCCCACCGCAGATATGCCCGACGTGCATGTGCCAGCAGCGAGATGGATTGCCAGCTTCTCGTGATCGCACTGGTGGGGGACAATATTCACGGATAGGATGGCACTCAGTTGCTTTGGTCAAGGTTTGATGGTTGTACTTCCACACAGCAATGAATGAGCGGCAGATTTGAATAGAGCTCAGCCCATTTGAACCAGACAAACGCTTGATGATCCTCCCTACTCCCCCTCTTCGTACCACCTCTCCTTCTCGCGGCTGGGTCCCCTTCTGAACCCATTCCTTGGCTACCCGTCCCCTTCCTGCTCCCCCCTTGACCCCTCTCGATTCCAGCGTCCATCTCTCCGACTCCGGCTCCGACTCGTCTTCTGAGGGGCCCTGGCCCCCCCGCGCTGCCCTCATGGGGCCGGTCCCGCTGGACCGACATCGCGCGCTCGCCCTCGCTCTCCCTTGACCCCTCTCGCTTGCCTTTCTCCTTCTAATCCCAAGTCCCCCTCCTCCCACCCTCCCTCCCCGTTTCCCCCCTCCCTTACCGCCCTTCCTCGCCACTCTTCTCCGCCCGCACGGCATTCGCTTGCGGACTTTCAGCCGCTGCCCGTGCACGACGCCCTCCTGGTTTCCATGATGTCTTGGCCCGCGCCCGCCTGCCTACGATGTTGACCTCGCCTGCGACGGGATCATGGGCCACCTCCTGTCGGTGCTTGCAGTGCCAGCGAGTCTATGGTGTCTGCGGTTGGACCCTGTTTGGGCTTCTACCTCGACGTTTGCGATGCACGTTGAGGCCCTAGCCCACCCGCGTTCAGCTCGTCTAAGGTGTCTTTGGCATCTCGCATGGAGCCCCTTGCATCTGGTGTACAAGCTCAGCGGCACCTTGCTGCGTCTGCGATGCAGCTGTTTCCGGGGCAGTCTCGCACCTGTGATGTCTACGTGCGCATGTCCACGACGGGCCTTTGGACCATGCCTCCCACTTCCGGCCTTCTCATTGGACCCCGGCGATTGGGCGCCGCGTAATGGGGGGGTCATAAATGGGGGGGTGGCGAGGGTGGTTCGAAAAGGTACCCAAACGGTACCTAAACGAGCCCCCTGGGGCTCTGGAGGGGCCCGAAAGGGGCACGAAAGGGGACCTTTTCTGACCCCTCCATTTGTGACCCCCCCATTAAGCCACGCCCAAGGCGAGGGCCCGACGTCAGGCAGGCCCTCGAACCTGGACAGGGCCCAACGACAGCGAGCGCGAACACGCGCCAGGCCCCGCCCCTCCGACGTCCCGCACCCTGCCCGCCGCGCACGTGGCTGCGCGGGCCGGCGCGCGAGCCCCGCACAGGCAATCTCCAGCCTCCCGATGCAGACCCCAGCGGCAGTGGTTCCTGCGCTCGCTCGTTCGCCCTTCCTCTCCCCCTCGACGCTCTCCGTCCCTCGAGCTTCCCCCGCCTTCCGCCACTAGTTACAGCTGGCTCTGGGGCGCGGTGCCAAACGACAGCGAGCGCAAGCAATCCAGTTTCCCCTCATTCGCCGCTCTGTTTTTTTTTTTGGGGGGGGGGGGTTCTCTTTCTCTCTCTGTCTCTCACTCACTCTCTCTCTCTCTCTCTCTGTCTTTCTGTTCTATTCTTTCCGCATGTTCCCCTGGCGCCTGGCATTCCCCATGTTTTCTCAGTTGGCTGGCCCCTGCATGCCCCCACCAAGAAACGTCAGGAAATGATTCATATATTTATCCAAGGAAGCCGCCAAACTGCAAGTGCAGGGCGTTTCTTGGTAGTACTGCTCTCCTTGCTTGGTTGGCCCCCAAGCGGTCGGCGGTCCCCCAGGTCTGCAGCAGTTTCCCGTTGTCTGACTCTACGGTGGTGAATGTTCCGTCGGCATCAGGGGCCGCCCCTCCATATGAGGTGCGGCTGGCAGCTCAAATGGAAAGAATTCGTGACAAGGAAGCCTTAGCTCGAGGCCAGTACATTGAGTGCGAGCTCATCATGTAGTGCTGTGCACTTTCCCCGCCGCATTCCATTCTTTTCCATTATGTTCCATTCCTCCTCCTCCTCCTCCTCACGCCTCGCCCTTCCTCCCTCCCTCGAGGTCCCTGGGGATCCCCATGGACACTGAGGATCTCCCTGGAGGTTCCCTGGACGCCCCCCCCCGGAGGCCCAAGAAGGCAGCACAATCCGACAAGCACCCAGATCCTTCCTGCCTTCCCCCTTCTCCATGTTTGTCTGCCTCCCCTCCCCCTGCGAGTGTCACTCAGGCAGCCTATACATATATATATATATATATATATATATATGGATCCCTATCAGCCAACCCTCGGCTCGGGCTGCCGGGGACTGGCGAAAGCCCGACACCTCGGTCCTTGATGCTCGAACGCCCAAAACCTCGATCCGCGATCCTAGAAAGCCGAGAACCTCGAGCTTCGATTTCCCAAATCCTCGATCCTCGAACGCCCAGACCATCGATCCTCGATCCTCGACCTCCCCCCTGCTTCCCGCACCGTATTTCCCCCCCTCCCCCCGCACTCCCCCACCCAGGAAGTGCCTGTCGCGTCTGCCCCGCCCTGGCCAGGGCGCGGAGGCCACACCACGACCCGACGACCTGGCAGGGCGGCCCCATAGGCCTTCGGGCACAGCGGAGCTTCGCGGGGCGGGGCTGGCCCCCCGCCGCCCCGCCGTCTGTGCTTCGGCTACACGTCAGTGTGACACTTCGCCGGAGTGACCTCTGGTGCGGGCACGCTGGGGTCCCCAGCTGGCTGAGCGCGATGCGATAGCAGCGGCTTGTGCGCTCGGGTTTGGCCACCCCACGTCCACCGTTACACCGCGCACCAAGGGTCACTCTTGCCGAGGGCCACTCTTGAGTGTAGCCGAAACGAGCCGTGGTCCTCCCCCCTCCCCGCGCCGCCCTGGCAGGCGGAGGCCTTCCGCCTCTCGCTCTCGCAGGAGCCCCGCCCGCTGGCGCCAGGCGCCCCCCCTGTGCGATGGCCCTCCCGCCCCCCCCTTCGCCGCGCGGGCTCTCGCTCCGGCTTGGCTCTCGCTCCGATCCGCTCGGCCTCGTCCTCTTCCTCCTCCTCCGGTCCTCCTCCGCTCCTCCTTTCCCGCCTCCACCTTCTCCACCGCAGCCTCCTCCTGCTCCACCGCCTTCTCTTCCTCCTCATGCTCCTCCTCCTCCTTTTCCTCCCGCTCCTCCTGCTCCTCCTCCGAGCCCGCTGCCCCCGCCGCGCTGGCCCACAGGCCCTCAGGGGTTGCAGCGGTCGCGGCGGGGCGGTCACAGCCCCGAGAGGCACTCCCAACAGATTGATCGTCCAATGTATAGTTTTCACTCTTCCGTCCTTGTTCTTTTCTTCTCTTTCTCCTCCTCCTCCTCCTCTTCCTCGCCCTCCTCCTTTCCTTTTCCTCGCCCTCCTCCTCCTCCTCGCCCTCCTCCTCCTCCTCCTCGCCCTCCTCCTCCTCCTCCTCCTCCTCCTCCTCCTCCTCTGTTTGCCGTGTTCAGCAGGCACATTGGCTGTGAGCGCTTGGATTCCGACGTTTCCCGCCTACGCTCCAGACGGCGTATGGCTTCGTGCTCGTACTCGTGCTCGTGCTCGGAGGTCCGCGCGTTTTTCTCGAATCGGCGCTTGGTTCCCCTGGCAGCGCCTCCGGCGCCGCCCCTTCGCGCGTTCTGCGCGCCGGGGAGGGGGGTCCAGTGCCGACCCGAGAAAGCCGCACGGACGTCCGAGGAAGTGGGTGTATGCAGCTTTTTGCTCCTGTGGGCTTCGGATCCGGGCGGCCCGCAAAAGGCGACCCGCAACAAAAAGACTACTCCAGTCTTTGCTTGCCGTTCTCTGCCTCGTGGAGGCCGCTTCCCGGCTCCAGGGCCGTCGAGAGAAGGCCTGGGACGAAGACGCGCCCCCCGGGAAGAGGGGGCGATGCATCTTGGGGAGGGGGGCGACGTCGCCATAACAACTGCAACGCTGGAGGGGAGTGGCGGCCGGTACGATGTGAGGAGGTCGCCATGATCCAGAGTCTTGAGACGGAGGTCCGTGCAAACGAGGGTCAGCCAGAGCGCCAGACCTTGCAGGATCATGCAAAGCCATGGTTGCACTGACCCGGGCTAGCGCGCAGGAAGCTGCAGGATTTTGGAGGGTTTTGCAGGATCCTGCGAAGCCCGACTGACCCAGGTTTGCATTGTCCCAGGTCAGTAGAAGCCCGACATGAAGGACGCGGTCCACAGGGAAACGGGTCATGAGTTTGTCCGGCGTTTTCACTCTCGCGGGGCCTTCCCCAGGGCCCTGGGATCGTCAAACAGCGAATCAGGATGAGGACCGGGCCCGTGGGGTCCAGGATCCGTTTCCCTCAGGGCGCGTCTTCTTCATGCCGAATGGGGACGGAGAGAATCGGGGCGAAGACCAACACCAGTTCTTGCCCCGTTGCCCAGTCTGGATAGGACTCGCTGCTGGTGGTGTCGCCGCGGACGCTGACCCCTTGGGAAAAAAACATCGCTTGCCCAACAGCAGCCGCTTCTGGTGTTGGAAACTATGGTACTTTCGGGCACCGTAAATTCTCTTGTCAGCCCCAAGCTTGGGCTTTCTGCACGCGGGGTCACCACTAAATGGGGCCGCCAGTTTATCCTGAGAGTCAAGGTTTCGGCAAGGTTTTTTCCCAACCATCCTGTGGTGTTGGGTCCTCGTTTTGAAGAGACGGTCCCCGCGTCCCTCCTCCTCTTCCTCCTCCTGTCCTCCTCCTCCCCCTCCCTCGTCCCCCTCCTCCCTCCTCCCAGCGTTTCACCCACCCAGTACAGCGTTACGTGACCCCATAGGGGGCTTCACCGAAGGTCCCAGTGGCACCGCCCGCATGCGTCAGCCACCACCCAGCACAGCCCTTGCTCCCTGCGTTTCGCCCACCCAGTACAGCGTTTCGTGGCCCCACAGGGGGCTCCACCGAAGATCTCAGTGGCACCGCCCGCATGCGTCAGCCACCACCCAGCACAGCCCTTGCTCCCTGCGTTTGGCCCACCCAGTACAGCGTTTCGTGGCCCCATAGGGGGCCCAACCGAAGGTCCCACAGGCACCGCCCGCATGCGTTAGCCACCACCCAGCACAGCCCTTGCTCCCTGCGTTTCACCAACCCAGTACAGCGTTTCGTGGTCCTATACGGAGCTCCACCGAAGGTCCTGGTTGGACCGCCCGCATGCGTCAGCCACCATCCAGCACAGCCCTTGCTCCCTGCGGTTCGCCCACGCAGTATAGCGTTTCGTGGCCCCATGGGGAGCTCCACCGAAAGTCCCATTGGCACCGCCCGCATGCGTCAGCCACCACCCAGCATAGCCCTTGCTCCCTGCGTTTGGCCCACCCAGTACAGCGTTTCGTGGTCCCATAGGGAGCCCCACCAAAGGTCCCAGTGGCACCGCCCGCATGCGTCAGCCACCACCCAGCACAGCCCTTGCTCCTTGCGTTTCGCCCACCCAGTTCAGCGTTTCGTGGTCCCATAAGAGGGGGCTCCACCGAAGGTCCTGGTTGGACCGCCCGCATGCGTCAGCCACCACCCAGCACAGCCCTTGCTCCTTGCGTTTCGCCCATCCAGTACAGCGTTTCGTGGCCCCATAAGGGGGCCCCACCGAAGGTCCCAGTGGCAAAGGCCAGTGACAGGCCCTACTGGTGGGCGTGCTCAGGGCGCTCATGTGACAGAGCGGTGTTGCAGCAGCAGACAAGATCATAGTGGTTTGCGATGGTGGCCGGACTTCATCCCGATCAAGACTGGGCCTCTGCCAGCATCCTGCTGGACCTTTGGAAGGCGTTCGAGCAGGTCTCGCATCGGTGCTTCGTGCAGGCAGCCATCAAAAACGGGATCCGCTCTGGCTGGCCAAGCTGCAGATCTCTCTGTACCGTGCGCCGAGGGTGCTTCGCCTCGACGGGTGCTGCTCGCAGGAGTTGCAGGTCTTCCAGACGGTGCTCGCTGGAGACGCGTTCGCCACGGGCTTCATGAAGCTCATGTTGCTGCAACCGCTCGACGAGATGGTCGCGCGGTTCGGGGCCGTCGCGCCAGCCATCGTGGTCGACGACCTGGTGCTCCAGCGCTGGGGCGGTACCGAGCGGGTGCAGGGCGATCTTGCGGGCGCTATTGGTGTATTGGTGCGCCAGTTGAAGAACGTTAAGCCCAAGATCGCGGTCAAGATGTCTCAGGTCATGGGCAGCTCACCAGGCTTGCGCAGCAACGTATCGAGGCGCCTGCTCAAAATTGCTGGAGTCCAGGGGGCTCGTCACGCGCGCAACCTGGGCATCGATCATGCAGAGGGGCGACGTGCAGGTCGGGCCCCTCGGCGGCAACGCCTCGCCAACGTCGCGCTTCGCCTCGGCAAGGTGCGGGGCTTCTTGGGCCTGAGGCGCGGGCGCGCTGCTGCGGCCAAGGTTGCGTTCACAGGCCTCCATCCTTCGGCGATGTACGGCGTCAGCTGCACTGGCCTCAACCCAGCGGGTTGTCCAGGATGCGCTCCATCACGGTCGGGGCCGTGGAGCCACGGCCAGCAGGCAATCATGCCACCGCAGTGCTGATGCTCTCGGGGGCCAAGACATTGGACACCATCTTCGCTGCCGCGCTGGGGCCTCTCATGATGCTGGCCAACGCTGTATGGGAAAAGTAGATCCCGACGTCCATTTTGCAGTCTACTTTCGAGTGGAACGCGAGGGCCGCCAAGCACTGGGGCGACGCGCGTGGCCCGCTCGGAGCAGCAGTGATGTCTTTGCAGAGGATCGGGTTCACACTCAGCTCCACGCTGATTGGGTCGCCGACGCGGGCGACAAGCTCAACTTGGCGGTGCGGTCTCCTTGGGCGGTCAAGCAGATTGCCGCGGGAGGCGTCGAGCGGATCTATGGTGCTGGCGGAGTCTTCCTGCCGCAGGTCAGGCGGCGGGTCGCGTCGGGCCGAGGCTCCGCCAAGGTCGCTGAGGCCTGGGGGGCGGTGGCGCCCAGTGAAGCTGGGTGCGCCGGATCGTGCCTGGTCGACGGTCAGTGGCTCAACGAGCGGCGCTGTGCGGCAGGCCTCAGCTCTTGCTCGGTCTGCTCGCTGTGTCCCAGCAAGATGGGGGCACTTTGGCACAGGCACATGGGGCGTCAAGGCGCTTGGCCATCTTTGACCCTTCCAGAGGCGAGCTGGGGCGCTTCAAGGGCAAGGGCGACTCCATTGCGATCAGGGCTCTGTCCGAGGGGTTGTGGCCGCCAGAACCGCTCGCCGGGGGCCGCCGGGTGACTACTTCTGGCGCGCGCGCAGTAGATCAGGGGCTACGACGAGGGCCTGCCGTTTGCAGAACCCGGCCTGTTCGCAGGTGGGGCCTGCATCGACGGTGGCACCCAGATTGCCTGTGCAGGGTGTGTTGTTATTGCTTTGCCTAGCGGTGGCGATCGCATCGACCCTGGGCCAAGGTCTGCCACGCGTGCGCGAGCCTCCCCTTTGGCTGGCGCCTTGCAGTCCGTTCGCGGCGGCGAGCTGTTGGCGCTTCTCTTGCTTTTCAAGAACACCATTCCACAGTGACACCTCATTTTGACGCATGGTTTGTGGTGAGTGGTATCCATATTCGCGGGCCCGAGGCCACTGCGAGCAGCAGGGCAGCCTGGGCGGAGCTGTGGGTTCGCATCTGGCATGCGGTGCAGGACTTTTGGGGCTCGGCGTAGACGGCCTCGCAGTGGTCGAGGTCAAAGCGCACGCTTCTGCCAGGCGCGCGCAAGAGGGCCTGGCCGCGGCTAGAGCCCACAGGGGCAACGTCGAAGCTGATCGGCGTGCCAAGTTTCTTGCTGCTCAAGTCGGCGCTCCCGACGACTTTCGGCAGCTCATGCAGGCGAGGCAGACCATGCTCGATGCCGCGTTCTTCTGGGTTTCGGTTGCTGGCGGCATGGCTGCCGATGGCAGAGCTGACATCTCGGACGAAAAGGTCACGAAGCAGGCCAGCAATATTCAGTTGTTTCTCACGGCTCACGAGGTCATCGAGGCCCC